CAATTTTATATCCAACTGGCAAGCTCTCCCTGAATCCCATGTGATGCAACTTTACTAACCCGTCTACAATGCGGAACCTTGTCAAAGTTTTTACTAAAATCCATGTAGACAACATCTACTGCTCTGCCTTTATCTATCTTCTTGGTCACGTGCTTAAAAAATTCAATAAAGTTTGTAAATTTCCCACGCACAAAGCCATGCTGACTATCGCTAATCAGTCCTTGCCTCTCCAAATGCATGTAAATCCCCTCCAACAACTTATCATTGATGTCAGACTCACCACCTGTATCCTTTCTTAAATAAATAAATAAAACATTAGCTTCCAGCACCTCACCCATGGCTGTAGATGAAAGAAATATCTCTACTAGAAGCCCCTCATCATTTCTTCCCTAACTTCCAACTCATTGAATAGCGGAGCAGCCTCAATAGATTGAATGGCCTGATTCTTCTCCTACATTTTATGGTTTTATGATCTCATTGAAACTTACAAAAAACCTAAAGGGAGAGACAGGGAAGATGCACGTAAGATCTTTCCCCCTAGCTGAGGAGTCGAGAACTGCAGATGCCACTTAGTATCAGATGAGAATTTTCTACCACAGAAGGTTGTGGAAGTTCAATCTTTGAGTACGTTTAATGTAAAAATTGATAGATTTCTAATTACCAGTAGCGTATAGGTTATGGGGATGGAATAGATAAAAGAACATAAGAACTAGGAGCAGGAGTATGTAATTCAGCCCCTCAAGCCTGCTCCACCATTCAATACGATCATGTCTGATCTCATCTCGGCCTAAACTCCACTTTCCTGTCCATGCCCCATAACCCTTCAGCCTGCTACTAATTAAAAATCTGTTTCCTCCTTAAAGTTACTCAATATCTCAATATCCACCACACTCTGAGGTAGTGAATTCCACAGATTCATGACCCTTTGAGAGAGGTAATGTTTCCTTTGTCTGCATCTTATATACATCAATTAGATCTCCTCTTATTCTTCAAAGTTCTGAGAATATAGGCCCAAACTGCTCAATCTCTCTTCATCAGACAAACCCCTCATCTCTGGAATCAAACTAGGAACATAGGAACAGGAGTAGGCCATTCAGCCCCTTGAGCTTGCTCCGCCATTCAATTATAGATTGATCTGTGGCCTAACTCCACAAGCCTGCCTTGGGCCAATATCCTGTGATAGCCTTGCTTAATAAAATTGTTTATCTTAGATTTAAATTTAAGAGAATTAACATTGACTGCCATTTGAGGAAGAAAGTTCTAAGTCTCCACTACTCTCTGCATGTAGAAGTGCTTTTTAACCTCTCTCCTGAATGGCCTGGTCATAATTCTTAGAGTACACACCATGGTTCTAGAATCTTCAACCAGTGGAAATAGTTGATCTTTATCTACCCCTAGTAAATCTAGTTAATCTTCTGTGAACTGCTCCCAATGCAACTATATCCCTCCTCAAGAGGACCATGTATGCAGTACTCCAGGTGCAATCTCACTAATGCTTTGTATAGTTGCAGCAGCACTTCCCTATTTTTATACTCTTATTCTTTTAGCCATAAATACCAAAATTCCATTTGCGTTCCTTATTATCTGCTGTACCTGCATACTAGTTTTTTATGCCCTACGACACTCAGATCCCTCTGCACCGAAACACTCTGAAGTTTCTCTCCATGTAGACAATGAGCTGCTTTTCTATTCTTCTGACCAAAATGGATCACCTCACACTTATCTACTCCATCTTCCAAATTTTGGCCCATTCACCTAACCTACATATCCATGTGTTTTTTTTTTCATTTCTTTACTACAACACACTTTTCCATCTATTTTAGTGTCATCTGAGCTTAAAGACATATGGGCCAGGAGCAGGCAGGCGGGACTAGTTGAGTTTGGGATTATGTTCGGCATGGACTAGTGGACCGAAGGGTCTGTTTCCATGCTGTATGACTATGACTCTATGACTATCTGCAAATATAGCTTTGGTACCTTCTATCCCTGCATCCAAGTCATTAATACAGTTTGTAAATAGATGGAGCCCAGGGACCAAACTCTGTGGCACCCCACTAGCTACATCTTGCCACCCTGAAAAAGGCACATTTATCCCGACTCTGCTTTTTATTAGTTAGCTAATGCTCTAATCAAGCTAATACATTAACCTTATTAGAATATTTTGCAGCACCTTATCAACTGTCTTCCAGATGTACATCTATAGGATTTCCCATTATCAACTACTTTTTATATCTTTGAAGAACCCTAGCAAATTAGTCAAACGTGATTTAGCTTTCATAAAACCATGCTGGCAATGAAGTATTCAATCAGCCATAATTGTATTGAATGGCAAGCAAGTTTGACAGGCTGAATCGTCTACTCCTGTTCCCATATTGCACGTCTGTGATTTACAGAGACAGCTGCATGTGCTCTGTTCGAACAGATCCAATTCTTGTTCATGGGATGTCCAAATCACAACTTGTGGGCATTACACATTCAGGAGAAGATCCAAACATACCAGAGTTCTTTGGAGAGGTAGAATATCCTTTCAAAGAGCGAAGGCGATATTTTGGATAGATCCACGGACACCTTTGGGAGAGGTTAGATGCCCTTTGGAAGAGGTAAAGTGCCATTTGGGATTGTTAAAATAAATGTTATTCTGCATAAAAAAGTGGATAAATTCATTAAATTGTCAAGCTGTTAAGGCATCATTATGCAATTTATGCCACACAATTCACTTATAAATTATGCAGAGGGGTAAATTCACTGTTTGATTAACAGTTCCAAACGGTTGTATAGACTTTAATGTGGGGCAAATAATAAAATGCTTGGTTTTACAAGGGATTAAGTGGTTGAAGGAATTTAAATGTGGTGAATAGGTTTTCGTCAATGAGACTATTTTTAATCAAAATAGTGAAGAAATTAATAGAAACTTAAAACTTCATTTTATTTCAAAATTGGAGAGTGTAAGGGCAACACACGGTGGGTGGGGTGTATGATTTGGCTTGAATTATCACTAAGTTAACATAAGGACTATCAAGGGCCAAGTGCGAAAGGTGGGCATAGGTTGGTATGGAAGGTATGAGAGGAAATGGGTGGGGTACAGAGCTTAGGTTGGCCTGGCCCAACTGGTTCATTAGTGTCTTTTAGAGAAGGAAACTGCTATCCTTAGCTGATCTGGCCTACATGTAACTCCAGACCAACAGCAATGTGGTGACTCTTAACTGCCCTATGGGCAATTAAAGATGAGTTATAAATGCTGGTCTAGCCTGTGATGCCCACATCCCATGAATGAATAAAAGAAAATGGAATGCGGCCAAGAGGTGAGTACAGGAGTAGCAGTGGCATGGAAGGTATGAAAAATCTTAGTGAGTTAGGTAGCATAAGTTAGCATATGGAGGTAACGAAGACAGCGTGGAACATGGGGAGGTGGGAGAGATAAGAGTTTTCAGGCTGGTGTGGTTTTATATTCTTCATTGCAAGTCCCGGATTACCAAAGCCGGCTCTGAAGAATCATACTTGACTCGAAATGTTGACTCTGGTTCTCTTTCTACAGATGCTGCTTGACCTGTTGAGTTTCTCTAGCATTTATTGTTTTTATTTCAAATTTCCAACATCAGAAGTGCTTTTGTTTTGCATTTATTTCAGCCTTTCAGACATTCTGCCTCACATGCAGCTGCCCCTGAATTATTTCCAGGGTTAGCTGGCAAACTCTCATCATCACTCATCTCGCTGGAACAAAAACCTAAACATCTGTTGCACTTTCTCCTGAGTCGAATTACAGTTGAGAATTTTCCAGACCTTACGCTCCTGACTAAGGAGTGAAAATTCAGGCCATGTTGTCCACTGCCACACCAGCTGCCTTCAGACATTGATAGTATTCAGATTTAGTTGGCAAGACTTCCTTTGGTTTTGTTGGAACTCTGTGACTTATTTGGGTATGTTTTAATTTGGTTCCATCATTTGTTTCTCCATTATATGTATAATTGTGACACAGATTTTAATGATTCCAGTTTTGATGACAAAACAGTTTTCCTTTGCTGCCTGCACGGTTGATGCAGATAGTAATAAGACTTCGCATAATGATAGGCAGACCAGTGTTTTTAATATGGAGATCAGAACAGGGCCCAGTAGTTTAAATATTGCTGAAGACAGATATACACTGTCATCTTGCAATGCCAAAGTTCTGTATTCCGAAGCAATGACATTAATCAAAGCAAAGTCTGATCATGAAAATTTAAGTTGAACATCGTTCTCAGCTTTTGCATTCTATTTCTTTAGAATGGGCTCCAGCATCCTCCTGTAGCCTAACTAAGCTACTTACAGGGCCAATTTTCCCACTTCCGTCCATCATGTGGGAAGACTGCTGGATAAACCCTACTGATTTCCGAGTAGGCTCCAGGACAGGGGCCCTCATTTTTCGATAGTGCTTTCCTGTCACAATCAACAATTTGGTAATGGACAAATCAATTCTGATGGTCAATTTGAGGCTGCTGATCCAAAAAGACAACAGCCAAAAGTAGGTACTAAAGTCAAATATTTACTATAAAAGATGTAAATGGAGAAATGCGACTATTATAAGTACAGCAGGAAGGCTGCTGGAAGATATAAAAGATGGATGAATGTACGTACATGATGAAGGGCAGAGGGTTTAGCCCATAGATTGAAAGCATAAAGCACAATGATGCAAGGCAAGAAAATGTAGTGTAAGCACAAACAGTGCCAACCAGAAAGAGATCACAAACTATTAAAAGGAATTCTAATAATAGGAGGAGATGTCAAACTGCAGCACACTAGAAAGAGTTAGAACACAAGATAGAGGGTACAGTTTCACAAGGTCAAGCATATAGTACAATGCAGGAATACTACGAGCAGCAGAAGCCCACATGATCAAGAAATCATAGTTGCCACAAGCAAACTAGAAGACAAGTTAATAAAATTAATAATACCAGTCTTATTAGGAAAATGATAACCCCATTGCTCTCGTCAAAGATGCAAAAAGATGCAGTACCTTCCAAAACTGAAAAAAGGAATTTTGAAATTTATTTGGACAGCTGAATTGAGTGGGCAGCCAAACAAGGCCAGATGCCAATTTTGAAGTATTAGTATTAAGTACAACGTGAAAAATCCCAAGGTGGAACATAATATTCAGGCAAACAAAACATTGAAATAATTTTAAATGGATAATTGTGTTTTGAAATTTCCATTATTGGGAGATGCCAGGAACATGACACTTGTTTTTAGTGATGTTTCTTGTGAAAATCTCTTAGATGGGGAATGTACAACTTTTCTCATGGGAAATGGAGATAAATGTTGTCCTTTAGCTGGGGAAGCTAAAAGGATTAGAAGAGTAGTAAACTGTAACTTAGTGGCAGAAAATTTGGTGAGGTGATACATATGACATTTTTCTTTGCAAAATATCAAGTAATTCAACAGCAATACCATTGAGTGCAATGTTGATAATAAGTCACTGTGGGATAATGTGCATTCAATGAAATGTGTAAATGAAAAATATCTAAGGATAAATGTTGCAGTTTTAAAACATGCTGGAGAATGGGGAAATTTCCAAATTGAAATGGATGGATAGCAGCACTCAGCTTTCTTGTTGTTTTACAAAGAAAAGAGCAAGCACTGAGAAACCATTGTACATGCTGGAAAAAGGACGCATGTAGTTTTTAATGCCCAAAGAAAAAGAATGGAACATGATATGCTGGTTTTTTTGTGTATTTTGTTAGTTTTCTTTTTAATTATATGAATAGATTTATTTAAAAAGAAAAAAACAGAATTTTATCATCTAATAAGTTTCGAAGGATGCCCAAGACACAATAGGATGACAGAACAGGTTAATTAACCCTTAAATATTAATTTTGGTTTAATTGAGTGTCAATTGGTTGTGTAAACAAGGGGAGCTTGCTGTTGGCTGTGGTTTAATGGAATATGAGTAACTGAAATAAAGCTCCCACTGAAAGTATGGATTTAGGCTCTGTTCAAAAACATTTATCTTCTAGAGTATAATAGTTATCACATCCACATTTCTCTACACATCAGAAACTGCTGTTACATGTTCTTTTCTGAAGAAAGGTCATTGGATCTGAAATGTTAACTCTGCTTTCTATCCACAGTTGCTACCAGACCTGCTGAGTTTTGCCAGCATTTTCTGTTTTTGTTTCAGATTTCCAGCATCTGCAGTTCTTTCTTTTATTTTGCTGTTTTCATTACTTGGTTTTACTGGGTTAGAACGTGCATGTATTTATACAGCATTGCATTCTGGTGTACTGTGGTTCTGGTGTCGAGTCCAGGCAGCAAGAAATGGGAGAAGAACAGCCATTTCAGAGTAAGGAATAGACTTAACAGATCAGCTACCTCAACTGTATAAATGGACTGAATACTGTCGATCAGAATCTGGGACAGTACAGGCACTTGTACCAATGTAATTGCAATTTTCTCCGGAAGGGTCAAGGGGGAAATTAGGGATGAGAAGGAGTGACTTCCGCATTTAGGACCAATTCAGAAATACTGTTAATTAAAGTCATCATTATTAATTTTTTTAAGTGCAACATAGAAACCATAACCCTGAACAGTATACAACCAGTTGGTGTTACGTGTGTCAAAATTGTGGGATGATTTATGATTTAAGGAGTCCTGACTGTTTATTTTCTGGTCATGTGATCGTTTTTATACTTCTTGTAGGCTGCAATGATCTCTGAGATGATTTGAGGGTCGTCTAGTGTACTCAGGTCTCCCAGATTAGAAGTATCATCCGTGGCTATTTTCTTCAACACCCGCCTCATGATTTTCCCAGATCGGGTTTTGGGAAGTCGCTTCACAACCTGAAAATAGGAAACAATAATTAAATGAAATCCAAACTCATAGAAGAGTCAGAGAAAGTGGGTAAGCCTTTGGTAGCAAATACTTGCTTGTTCCGACTAGGTGCATGTGAAAAGATTTAACATCAGTCGGCATTCCAAATGCAGGCAGTAGTTAGTTCATTATCCTTTAGAAAGTTACTGTGTTATCGGCTCCCTTTGAAGGATGCGAGGTGGTAACAACTCACTATGCAAGGAATTTACACCTCAAGGCCAACTTTGCGGCAGGATTTTCCCTACTTGGAACTTTGAGATTGCTCTCAAGGTTCACTGAGTCAGACGCCTGCACTATGGGCTGGTATACAAGCATACTGCTTGAACTCAACCCACCACCTCCAAAATAAAAGATGGTATCATTGGACTTACTATGGACTTTTACAAAGCTTGCCCACAGAACACACGGAGGGTTCAACTTTCAGCCCTTGACGAACAGGAGGTCCCACACAACTAAACTCAATAGTGTGTGCTTCTAACACTGCAAGACCAGATGGAGATCATCGATGGCATCTGGACCCAGCTAAACATCTGGCTTTTAGGGTGGGAACAGATTGGGCAACCTAGGGAGCAGTCTGTGCTTTGGAGGCCAAGCAGGGAGGCACAAAGTGAGGGGAGAGGTGACATCTTATTGGAGAGGGATCTGCCCCTAGTGCACACAGGTCACTCCCATCCACCTTCTCTGCTTCTGCTTCCACTTCCTACCTGCTTTTCAAGAAATTAGATTTTAAAAAGGCCTTTGTACACTAGCCAAGCATACCATGGCAGTGGAGGCAGATTGAGGCCTTTATTTGTCATTTTGTCAGGGAGTTAATTGCCTCAATAGGCCAAAGGACAAACAGCTGCAAGGGTGATTTACCCATTCCTCCCTATTATGGAAAATAGGTCAGTGTGGGGAGCAGGAAGGGAGAACAATCACAACTGATTTTTCTCAAATTGACCAATGAATGGCCAAAGGGTAGACACACTATTTAATTAAGTAATCCAGGTGGGTTCTCCAAACTGAAGAGCCAGTAAGAGGCCCTCCTTTACCGAAGCAGTTAAAGGCTTTTTTTTTCAGTTAAGAAAGAGAGAACCACAAGATAGCAATACCCTTACTACAACCTTTCTAACTTTATAATAAATAATGGCCTCAGCAGCTGGGTCACCATTGTGGAAGGGAATTTTCTAAGCCTACCTGGAGAACTAGCTCCTGATCTGTCTTCAGGCATGTATGCTGTTCCCTGACAATTCTGGGGGCCTTAACAGGCCTTTAATGAGGTTTATTGTCTATAAGTGGCTATCTTTTGACAACTCCCTCTCAAGCCCTTTCCCATATCATTTAACTCTTTGAAAATAGCTCATAACCGGTCCTAAAAATCCAGTCCTTTATCTTTGACCATTAACTTAAATCTGTATTCTCAATCACAATGGTCTCAACAGTGGAAACAGTTTCTTCTTATTTGCTTCATTAAAAACCCTCAATTTTGAAACAAAATTTGTAAGGAATGATGGATTGGATCAACTAGTTTCAGCTATTCCTGTACTCTCCGGTGAGGTTCAGGGTGATCAACTGAAAATTTCTCCACTGGACAAGGGTAGGTTATATTAAGGAAGAGAAGAAGGAAGATATTAAACTATACACTGTTGATATCTTTACTAGCAATTAAGAATCAGTGGGGATTGGTAGGAGGAAAATATTTGAGAAGGTTGGAATATGCTGTTGGGCTTTCAAGCTATGGTGAACTACCTTGATCTTTTAAATTGTGCACCATTGTTACAAAGCTTGCTTTTTTCTGGTTAATATAAGTTATATGTTTTATTGTACAAAGAATAATGGTTGTGCAAATATTGTTTTTGATGGAGTGACAATAGTTTTATGTATAACAAACGCAAAACCAGAAAGAAACATCATGTTAACACACATGTTAAATAAAGAATTTTTGTGTTGTCAGATGAAATGCTATTAAGAAAAGGAGTATCAGGTTGAGGTAAGTGAAGGTATTACCGGCAAAGGAAGCTGACCTATAGCAAGCATACTCTATCAATAACCTCACATAGCCACATTTATGGCATGAATCTCCTGTTGCTCCCATGAATTTTTCCAACCTTTCAATCTCTTATGCATTGCTTCCACATTGGCACAGTGAAGAAGCAAGCTTCTAACTCAGTTGTAATATTCTTGCCCAACTCAGAACAGATAGGATTTGAAACTTTCTCTAAATAACCCTGGCTGGTAAAGACTTCATTAAATTTATTAAACCTCCTGCCACAGAAAAATCATCGCCTATTCAGCTGGGAAAATATAGTTAAGGTCATGGAAGGAGTTTTTATATTGCAACCTGTCAGATTATTAATTAGCCTGTGAATTCATACAGTACTTCGAACAGTTCTTCCCAAAGGAATAATGTGAAGGTATGAAAATACTGACAACTCCATCCTGTCAGACTGTTTATCAGCCGCAACACTTCCAATACTCCACAGGAATCTTTACAAGGGAAGAGTTAAAAGATCATGTTTGATAAATATATCTTTTTGAAGATGTTACTGGTATGACACAAAAGGGGAACTAGGTTTAGTATGCAAGATAAAGGGTCATGGATTTGAGGATTATTTAACAGACAAGAAGCAAAGTGTAGGCACTTTAAAATTGGGGCCCTTTAAAATTGACAGGCTTTGACTAGTGGAGTATTGTAGGGATCATTGCAGGGGATTTAGCTACTTCCAATCTATATTAATGACTTAGATGAAGAAACCAAGAGTAACGCATCCAAATTTGCTGACAATACAGATTTAGATGGGAATGTAAACTGTAAGGAGACTACTAAGGAGCTAAAAGGAGATACAAGGGTGATATTTAATATATGTGGTGGGAGTCCTGCCCTCTGACTGAAGAGCTGGCCAGAGCCCTGTATCTCCTTCTCCTCTTTTAGTGCCACACAGGCACTTAACTGTGGGCATTCCCAGGGACCAAGGACTGATCAGAGGTTAGCAGCTCTCTACAGAAGCAACCCACTGGGGAGGCAGTGGCAGTCATAACATCTACCAAGGTCAAGTACTGTTGCTCAATCCCATGTCCACTTTTGAGTGATAGAAGGTGTCACGGAGTGATTGCCATAGAGGAGGGAGAGGAGTGTTGGCAGTAAGGGAGTTGTGCTCTCAGCAGATCCACCCTTCCCAATGTTGAGTTCTTTGACTGAGGACCCCTCCTGCTGACCCAGATTTGACAAGGAACCCTGAAAATTGTGTTCCCTGCACATCAAGCCCCCCATCAACCATGGGTTAATGATGTCTCAACCGGTCATAGGATAAAAAGGCTGTCCACGGGCTGTGCCACCAATGACTTATTCGGATTAGAAGCAAGAAGGTGGCAGCATTGCCACCCACTGCCTCCTGTCCAGCTAAATGCTCCCTGACCACCATACATATGCTTACAGAGGTCATAGAAGTCATACAGTCCCTATAGTGCAGAAAGAGGCCTTTTGCCCTCTCAAGTCTGCACCGACCCTCCAAAGAGCATCCCATCCAGACCCAGCTCCCCCCACCCCAATTATTTACCTTGATAGTAAAAGTAATAAAACATCTATTTTAAATGACACGGAATTTGTAAATATCGATGCTCAGAGGGACTTAAATGTACTCATAAGGAATACCGAGTGTTTTCATTCAGATATAGCAAGCAATTACAAAGATAAATTGCACTTTGTCCTTAATTGAAAGGAGATTGAGATACAAGAATAAAGAAATCTTACAAAAATTGTACAAGGCTTTGGTGAGACCATTCCTGAAATACTGTGTGTAATTTTTGTCTTTATAGAAGGATATATTTGTATAGGGAATGGTACAGTGAAATTTCACAATATTTGTCCAAGTGAGGAGAGCATTGTCCCATGACAAGAGATTGAGTAAATTTGGCCTATATTCCCTGGAGGTTGGAAGAATGAGAAGGGACCTCAGTTGAAGTACACAAGGTTCTGAAGAGGATTGATATCGGGTTAGTACTAAGGCCTAAGTTTTCTTGGGTACAGCAAGGGTTTCTGGATTAGTCAAAATGGCCGCAGTCCAAATTTGAGAAGCCCTGCCCCTCAGCATGGCACCTACTCTTCTTTTCACGGTTGGGAGGAGATGGCACAAGGGCTGCTTGTATTGTGCATTTGTGGTTCATGGAGCGGACTCGATGCATTAAACTGCAGCTGCCTTCAACCAAATCCGGTTTTCATGGGTGCAGTGTACAAAATGGAACTTGTGAACTTTACATTTTCAGAGGTAGGGTACCCATTTAGAAAATTCCAGGGACATCTTTGGTAGGGATAATGTGCCCTCTTGAATTATTAAGTGACATAAATGTGTGTTAAAAGTGGATACATTTATTGAATGTTTCAAACAGTTAGAGGGAACCTACGAGTTGTAAATGCATTTATATCTCCTGGTCTTTAAAGATTTTTTTTGAAAAAGCTTTCTAGCTTATTCTACATGTTGACATAAGACTTACAGCTATCATTATAGGATTGTATTACATGACTGATTTCACCATGAGGTGTATGTTGGTTCACAGTTTGATTGACATTTCCAAATGGTTAAAAGGTCTGTGAATCTGGAGCTTTGATTGTAAATGCTTGTTTTTAAAAGGGATTAAGTTGCTGAAGGAATTCAAGTATAGGGTGTTTTTTTAAATCAGTGTTTTTGATAACATATTGAACACATCCATAAGCACTTAGAACTTTACTTCATCTCAGCATTTATCCTGAGGTCTTCCCATAGTGGATACTGGGTGAGCATGCAAGACAGGTATAAGTATGATGGGTTGGGTGACGAGTTGACACGATGTTTGCACTGAGTTGGCATGGGGCTACTGAGAGTGGATAGAGAGCCATAACTTGGCATGAGGTTTTTGAGGAGCCATAAGAAATAAGTGAGGGTCATGAGTCATCATAAATATGGTATGAGTGAGCATGAATGAGAATTGAAGACTGTGCACGAGTGATGAGAGGATGTGAGAACGTCGGAAGGCTGACCTTTTGTTTTTTGTTGGTAGCTGGTCCTAAGTCCCAGGTTATTGAGGTCAGCCTTTCAGACAGCTTACCCTTATAGTTGTCTCTTAAGTTTGCATGAGAGTGGGAATTTATCTCTTGCATTGAAAGTTAGACACACAGGGCACTTTCTACCAAGTTCTGTTTGCCAAATTGGGAATCTTCAAGAACTCTAGACTTCCACATCAGGAGCAAAGATTCATGCCTGAGACATTATTTCTCCTGATTGGGGACTCTAGGCACTGTCTCAAAATATGGAAGCAATAATTTTGTACTGACATGAAGAGAAACCTCTTCATTCAAAAGGTTGCAAATCTTTGGAAGCCACTATCCCAGAGGATGTGGATCCTCCATAATTTTTAAACACATTTCAGACTATGATAGACAGAGTTTTGTCTCTCAGTGTCTAGGGATATGGCATGAGAGGGGTAGGTGGTAAAGTGGAATTGAAACAGAACATTAGCTAATTTTGTATTGAATGATTGAGTACACTTAAAAGACCGTACGGTCTACTCCAATTTCTTATGTTCTTAAGTTCTTAGCTAAGAATAAAAACTGGCCCTGCGATGTAGCTCAAAGTACTGCACTCCTCATTCGATTTCAACATTCCATCACATACAAGGGTTAATGCATATATTGAGTGTGGTTGATGTTCATTGACCCTTAACCGTAAACATGGAGAAGCAAGGGGAGTCACTCACCAGGATGTGATCAGGAATAGCATATTTAGCTATCTTAGATGCAACATTTGTTTTCAGATCTTTAATGATCAGTTCAGAAATGGAGCAGGTATCTTTCAAAACAACAAAGGCAAATGCAGCTGAAACAAAGCACAAGTATATTTTTTAAAGATCAGGAAATGCCTGAGTACCCTATGAATAAAATGCAAGTCATGTGCCAGAATGCAAACTTAATTGAAACAAGTCGTCAATAACATCCTCAACTCAATCATCAAGAAGCTTTGGCTAGGAGTGTACAATCAGCAATGAAGCAAGGCTGCACACCACTGAGCTCAAAATAAGCCTCAAGGAACAATTAAAAGATCTCTCTGGCAAAAACTTCAAGGTCATCATTACATAGTTATACTGCATCTGCTTGCAGTGCTATTCGCTGGGGATTTCTCAGCTTTTCAGATAGCCAATTACATGAAAGGTTTTCATAGAAACAAACATGAAACTAAAAGAAATAAAATTTTATAGAGCTAATTAAAGATTAGGCCATACACATGGGATGAAAGTGGAAGCTTAGAAGCTAAGGAGCTGATGTTTCTGAGAAAACATTTTCAAAATGTTTAAAGTGCTTAAAATTCTACTAATTAACCTTTTACCAGCACCCATTCCATTGTAATTTTATATTTTTTGGGCCAGTTCTGTTGTTCATCAAATTTCATGGATGGTATTGTTGTTAAAAACCTAATTACACCTGATTGAAGAAAGTGATCCACAGGGATACAGCCCTGGAATGACAGTCTGCAGTTTCAAGATTTCCATGCTTACCTGCACACCAGGGCTCAAAATGTGTGGAAGTAGTGGGTGAATGCACCTCCAAAAGTCACCAAATCACCTCAGAAAATTGAATTACAGGGGTGACCAATGGGAGAAATTCACCCCACAAGTACATAGGATCGAATATGTGAAGAACTACTCCTCCAATCACAGGCTATTTCTTTCCCGCGCTTGTTGCTGATAGATTCATTGGGGAAACTAATCATCAAAACACATGTGAGAGAACCAGCCTGTGTTTGGAAGAGCAGAGAGCAGTTGGGAAAATAATGAACAGCAGTTGCCTGGGTGCCAGAACAACTTTTCATCAGGGAGCTAGCTTTTGGCTTGGCTGGGGAGGGCATCTGCCCAGAGAAGGAGGCTGCAGGATGGAATTGGAGGAAGGAAGATGCTTCTGAGGGGTCGATGAGGCTAGGTGGGCAGTGAAGGAGAAAAGTGCAAAAAAGTTGTTAGAAGACAGCTACTTAGAGGGTAAAGGGAACTATCGGGAGAGGAGAAAGTTGCAAGGTTAGGGTGGGGAGGAGGAAGAGAAGGCCAAAAGGATGCGGTGGCATGGAGAAGGCTACAAGAGGGATGGGTGGAGGAGAAGGAGGCTGCAAAGGGCTGGGGAAGGAGGTGACTACAAAAAGTGTGGGGAAGGATGAGGAGAAAAAGAGGTTGCAAGAGAGATGGGAGATGGAGATTGCAAAGATTGTGGGGGGAGGGGTGAGGAGAGGGACTGTATAACAAGAGGAGAGAAAAAACGACAAACGGTGAGAAAATAGTTTTAAACCTGTCAACAAAGAAATATTCCGTGAACTGGGAGCCACAAAAACTTGAAATCACTGAAATAATTCCTTGCAACTGAATGTGAAATCTCTAGTTTAAGGCTACATAAGTTCTCGTGGGCTACATTTTGGATTTTTCCAGCTATGTTTGGTTTTCAGAAGCTTCTTTTCAATTCTTACTAACTTATTTATGAGATGATGCAATGAAGATGTAACTTTACCTTCTGTATTTGTGTTTACATTGGGTATTTGAACTCACACAAAAGCAGAAATAGAAGAATTCATCTACATCCTCAATAATCAATGACCTCTCCATAAACATAATGCCACAACACACAAGGAAAAATATTAATTTCCCTGACAGCACAGCTTTTAAATTGGTACAACAGGCATAAGTTAATAACAAAAGCTATTTCAAAATAACTGATACACACACACACTTGTGGAACCTATAACTGAGAGTGTCCACTGTCCTTATTGTGGCTTTATCTTAGAAATTATGCCACACAGTCTAGCTTTTTTGGTCAATCAAAGAATGGTTCAATACATAATTTGTTTGAGAACAACTATTTCACTTGTAAAAGATCTTTAAGTTATATATGATTATTGTAAGCTGTATTTTGTCATGAGTATAGTCCATGTACAATTGACCTTTATCTGGTTTCTAGGTAAGACTTTGTTTAAAGAGGTTAACATTATTGTTTAGCTGTTTAACATTAGTTGAAGCTACTGAAGGTGACAAGAGAGGGCAAATGATCTGTTTAATGTCAAGAACATGGAAAAAATAAAAAAATCAACATCATGCCAGCTTTCATAAATGGATGGAAAGCTCCCCTGAAATACACTGAAATATAATAGTGTAGTGATAATTCTTCCCAATAACATCTCTGGCAATTATTGTTCTTCAAGCTGTTTCTCTTTGTGCAGCAAACAGCTTGTATATAAATTACACAGAAATGGGTCTTAGTATTCAGTACCTTATTGTTGTGTATGTTAGGGAATAGGATACCGGTGTTGGAAATGGAACAATTCCATATGTTGTTTCAACCACAGTATTAAATGGTCAGCTACAGCATTGATGCGCAATTACAGTAACATTCCCTACTTTGCTGCAATATCACGTGGCAAAACTGTCCTCAGAATTCATACCAGGTACTCTTGCCATGAAAATTCAAGTGGAGGGATGGACATCAGGTGTAGAAAGTGCCAACTGTTTGGAATTAAAGGACCAATAAAAATATTCAACGATTATTTTTCATCTTATTCTTCCTATTAATCATACCTATATTGTCAGGTCAACCTTAGGTATTTTTCTCATGCTCAATACCAAAGGTCACTTTTGCACAGTAATCCTCATTCTCAATGATTCGACAATGTTTTAATGTCCATTATATCTTGTTATGTGACAATTACGTGCAAATATTATCAGAAAGTCAATATCACAAATTTCACACGATTATAGAATTCAAGTTTTTAGAGACCAGGAAGCTTTATAATTAGCTGTCTTAGGTTCTGAAATCTGAACCAATATCTAATAGATAAAACATACATCTGAGGTTTACACAATCGTGTTCAATACTGTGAGAGATAATAACATAGGTACAATGATAACATTTAAAAAGCATATTTATGGGTATATGAGTGGAACAGGTTTTGAAGGATATGGGCCAAATGCTGGTCAGATTGGGATATCTGGTCAGCACTGACGAGTTGAAGTGAAGGGTCTGTTGCCATGCTGTATGACTCTATGTCCCTAAAACATCACAGTGTAGAGCAATATTTTATTGACATAAACGTTAATTCATGAAATAGGATCAGGGGATCACAAAGCAGATAGTATTGAGTCATTCAAATGCAAATGAGGCAATTTTTTTCAGAAAATATCAGTTTGGGATACCATAAATGAGTAATTTAAGACATGATACCCTAAAGTAACAGGCTCAGGAGCATCAGATGATTTTGGACCAATAATTCCTGAAATTTTCCATTTGAGGATTTCTTCTCCTTGTGTCCGGATCTGTTACAGCTTATTGATAGAGATTCAATATAGTGATTAGTCAACAACTATGAGCCACGTTTTTATTCTCGAGACAAGTAGCAGGAGTCAGGAAAACTCCCAGTTTTGTGCAACTGCCTCGAAAATGACACCTATAAAGGCAGGAGCTTCACTGGCGGGGCAGATACTGGCTGAGGTTAAGTTGGCCGATCCCAGCCAAAGTTCAAATGCAGCACGTGCCAACTGTGGATTCAGGCTGTTTAACAGAGCCACCTCAAAACTGTTGGAATTTGTCCCCAGCTGTTGTAAAAAAACTTGCCCTCACACTCTTTATTCCCCACCCACTCCCATATCCTATCCAATCTACTTAATGTTCCCCAAACACCACCAATAGCCCATCAATAACCCCTTTGCTAAGATATGCCCAAACTCCCACCCCTCTTCCCCCATGGCCCCTCATTCTTCCATGCCCTGGTCCTACAATATCTGCAAATCACAGATTACATGTAGAACATACTTATTTCTGTTAGGTGACATAATAACAAATATTCTGCACTCTACAAATCTCATATTTTCCAAGTTCTTAATAAATAGTCACAGTTAGCAATGCTTTCACTTTGTATATTAAGGAGATGAGCACCATACCAACAGGTTTTAATGATGTTCCAATAGAGGGTTCATTAGAACTTAAAGTTCATATAATTTTACTTGAATGATTCACGAATGAGAAATTCATTCACAGAGACAACCAGACAGAAGTCTCTCTCTATGAGTAGAATGGTAGGAAATGGTGAGGAGCTGTTTTCCTTCAATGTCAGCTTGGCATCCCCCTTCTGCTTGCTGTTGATTAGTTCACTAGTGTATCTATTAGCAGGAAACAGGAGAGAAACTACCTAAGATTGGAAAGAACTAAGACAAGGCCCCAGGGCACTTGGGGCCAGCAGCCATGGCGATATCGGGCAGAGCCAATTTGGGTGGAGAAGGGTCTGAGCTTGAGCTTGTAGAGAAGGAGGAAGCAAGCAGGTTGGAGAGAAAGGGAGGCATCAAGGGAGACCGGAAGCAAGAGTCGGGTGCCTTAGTCTTGGCAGAGGGGTAGTAGGAGAGAGAGAGACAGGGAGGCCACAAGCACAAGTGAGACAGAGAGAAGCAATAAAGTGGGGTTTGGTGGGAGAGGGAGGCAGCAGCAGGCATTGTAGGAGAAAGGAGGAGACAGCAAGCAAAGTTGAGAGAGAAAGAAACTGCAAATAAGAGTGAAAGAGAGGAAGGCAACAAACAGGTTTGGGGAGGGGGAGAGAGAGCAGGTAGGAGAAGTGGAGACTGTAAGGAGGTCAGGGAGAGAGACAAAGGCCGTAAACAATAAAGATCAGTTTCAAATTTGTCAACAAAGGAACTCACCTAACTTGTAGCTGGGAAAGGTTGTTGACTTGCTCAATGAACTGGCTTGTTTTCATTCAGACATTTCGTCACCATGCTAGGTAACATCATCAGTGAGGTCTCCGATGAAGCAATGTTGTTCTACTCCGCTTGGAATTTATACTGTCCAGTCTATTTTGGTGAGTACTGTCATTTCCAGTTTTGTTCTCACATAGAATCCCTACAGTGTGGAAACAGGCCTTTCAGCCCAACAAGTCTACACTGACCCTTGGAGCATCCCACCCAGATCCATTCCCTTATAACCCACCTAAGCTATACATCCCTGAACACTACGGGCAATTTAGCACAGCCAATCCACCTAACCTGCACATCTTTGGACTGTGGGAGGAAACCAGAGCACCCGGAGGGAACCCACACAGACACAGGGAGAATGTGTAAACTCCACACAGACAGTTGCCCAAGGGTGGAATTGAACCCAGATCCCTGATGCTGTGAGGCAGCAGTGCTAACCACTGAGCCATTGTACCTCCTTGTTCTGTATGGGTTTGTTTATGGGGTCCAATTCTATATGTTTGTTGATTGCATTATGGGTTGACAACCTTGGGCCCAAGCCAAACATAGACACGCACAGGAATTCCTAGAGGCATGCTTCTCAACTCATATGCAATCAACAAACATAGAACTGGACCCCATATTCAAACCCATATGGAATAAAACTGGAAATGACACAATAACGGACCGGACAGTATAAATTTCAAGCAGAGTAGAACAACATCGCTTCATCGGAGGCCTCACTGATGATGCTACCTAGCATGGTGACAAAACGTCTGAACGAAAACAAGCCAGCTCGGCGAGCAAGTCAACAACCTTACCCACAATCCGAGCTATAAATCTTTGCTAAAACTTTAAGTAGCTGGGAAAACTTGAAATCACTTAAGTAACAAGTTACTTACAAACGAACGTGGAATCTCTAATGCATATGTTCAGGAGCTGGTATATTAGAAAAGTGGAGTGGGTGCTGTTGTAATGAATGAACACTGTGTCAGCTGTTAAATTTACAAATGAGATCGAGATCTGAAATGCAGTAAAAGGAAAGTATGTCCATGTCCAAGCCTCCTTGACCTGACATAACCTGTCCATCTTCTCTCCCACCTATCTGCCCCTCTCTTCCCACTGACCAATCCCCACCACTCCCTACCTGCACTCACCTATCACAATCCCACCTACCTTCCTCAGCCCCACACCTCCTCTCTCTGTTGATTTCCCAGCTCTCTTTCCCCTCCCCAAATCTGAAGAAACATCAACCTTCCTGCTCCTCTGATGCTGCCTGGCCCGCTGTGTTCCTCCAGTTCCATACTGTGTTATCTCTGACTCCTGCGTCTGTAGTTCTTGCTATCTCAAAAGGAAAGTAACTGCTTGGTTTAAATATTTCAGATTTATGAATATGGAATACCATTGCATTGGCTGTGACCTTACCATTCTAGAAGGTGTGTTGAATTGTGTCAGTTATTTAGAAAAGAAACTTCTGTTGCAAACTTATACCTGTTATTTTATGCTAATTTAAATACTATTGTGTCTAAGAAAATAATACTTTCTGTCTGTGTTGTGGCTTTAAATTTCATGGCAGGCTGATAGTTACTCACAATCTTGATGTACTCTTTTAATTCTGCTCTGTGCGAGTACAAATGCACCAAATATCAAGACAAATAGCATTATATTTTTTAAATCTATTTTTCGATTCAACCTGTTCAGAGATGTTATTCCACACTTCTACAACAGGTAGGACTTGAACCCAGGCCTCTGTGGTCCAGAGGCAAGGACACTATGACTGCACTACAAGATGGAAAGTAGTGTTACAATGTGACTGTATCATCTAATAAGGGAGTTACGGAGACTGAAAACTAAAAAGTTGTCTTCATGAGGACCCCCTCAGGAGAAAACAATATTTTGTGCCGTAACCCATTGTCCTGATCTAATTAGCAGATATTTTTCTTCGAATGAAAGGTAAATTCTTCAGACATTGTTTATGAAATTAGCCTCTTTATTTTTGAGAGACTATTTCCCATTTTCTCCACCAGCTTTCGTGTGTCATAAAAGATACTTGGTTAATGTAGGATATTAATATTGGAAGGGGGGAAGCATCTGTTTAATGGGTACGACATAAAAAAAATTTATTATACTGCACTGCGTGTGCTGGGAAATAAGGTTTGTTGTTTTATGCTGAGTGGAAAGGCAGAAGTCATCTTTCAGGTTTGATTGGATAAAAATTTCAGGGTTATGTCTGTACACAGACCACACCCTTAATAGACATTTTTAGAAAAGATGACAAAGAGAAGGACAAAGAACAATTTTGTAAACACTTTCTGCAAATTCTATTGCAATTTGGCAAGAAATATAGTGAACAAGAAATACTATTTTAACTTAATTCAAATAGAAAACATATGCATAATGTCAGCTGCAATCTTCAGAGTATAGGTACAACATTGTCATGCTGTAGGCAGATCTGAAGAATGTCATTCACCAGAGTATCAAACATTAATACTGTAACTTGAAACAGGAAGAGGAAATTAATGACCAGTTCTTTGGGCCCTATGATTATATATGTATCACTTGAGAATTCAACTGTTTGATTTAACAGTAGGGTACGTGGAAAATCTGTAGAAAAGTATTGCAGAGACAGCACTCTCATTTTTGAGTCAGAAGATTGTGGATTCAAGTTCCACTCCAGTGGGGCTCTTTACATAATGAAAACTGACACTTCAGTGCAGTACTGTAACAATGGAGGGCTGTATCATCAGAAGTGCTGACTTTGATTTTAAACTGAATTCCTTCTGCCATTTCAGGTGGATGTAAAAAAACTTATAATATTGGAAGAACGGCAAGGGAAGATCTACTTGTGGCCTGGTCATCATTTGTCCCTCAACCCACACAACTAAAAACAAAAACAGAAACTGCTCCAGAAATTCAGCAGGTCTGGCAGTTTCTGCAGAGAGAGAGAGAGACAAACCGAGTTGACATTCTGTAGAAGTGTCACTGGACTCAAAATATTGACTCTACTTTCTCTCACAGATGTTGCCAGATCTTCTGAGTTTTTCCAGCCATTTCTGTTTTTGTCTCCGTACCCGCATTTCTTCATTTTATTACTAAAAACATCTCTCTAGTCATTATCTTAATGCTGGTTGTAGGATTTTATTATGCACAAATTAGATGTTGTGTTTTTCATTTGACAACAGTCACTATGTTTCAAGAATATTTATTTGGCTTTGCAATTTCCTACAGTTGTGAAGTGTTCTGAAAAAGCAAGGTTTTTGTTTCTCTTTCTTAACATGTGGGCACAGGATCACACTGTCAATACACATTCCTCATGTTGCTATAAGGTTTATTGTAAGCCATTAAATGTTTCCTAATAGTTATGGAACTGTTTATCCGCAAATAATTCCAGGGTACTTGAACATCAGAATTCTGGAGGGGTATCAGACAGTCAATGGCTTAAGAAGCAAAAGCGCTACTATTCTGTGCTGGAACAAACATGGTATATTTTTCTTTTTGACCCAAAACAAACTGACTAAAAATTTCATCAATTTGACATGGAGGCTGTAGTACCTAAGGGGCTCAATTTAGCAACCTGAAAACTCCACATCACATTAAAACAAATACATACCATTACAATTTGAGAATTTTGTAGGTTGCATTTGTGTATCAGAGTCTACCTACATTTATTGGGTTGATCACAAGAACACTTTCTCTCACCTACCTTCCCCTTTCATGTCATGAGGATAGCCAATCACTGCCGTCTCTGGCACATCAGGGTGTTCAGCCTAAAGACCATTTGAACAGAGAAAGACCATCTCAATCAATTAACAGATTCCTTTTTACCTCCAGTTATTTCTTCTCACAAAGGAATACTGTAATAAAGGGGTACTGTTATACAAGTGGAGGCCTTGTGATGCAGTGGAAGCATTCTTGCCTTTGAACCAGAAGGTCTAGACTTGAGTTCCACTTAAGGACCTGATGACCAAGGAAGGTGCGTTAACACAGCCAAACAGAATAAATATCAACCTGCAAATCCCTCCAAATGGCTGGATATCAGGAAGATGCACTAAAATAGGAGCAGGAGTAGGCCATTCAGCCCCGCGAGCTGGTTCCACAGGAGGAGAGGAAGGAATTCAAGAAAATTATAGCCACCAGAAAAATGGCACTGAGGAAAGAAAGTTGGAACTGCAAGCTAACAAGTTCCCAGATCTTAATGGACTTCATCCTAAATTCTTGAAAGAAGTGGCTAGTGAGATTGTTGATGTGTTAGTTCTAATTTTCCAAAATTCCCTAGGTTAGAGGGAGGGTTCTATCAGATTGTAAATAGCAAAGGTAACTCCTTTATTCAAAAAGAAGACAGGAAGCAGTACACTCTATCGAGCACTTAGCTGAACATATGTTATAGGGAGTATGCTAAAAGACATCATAGTAGAGCCCTTAGTAAATTCAAGGTAATTAGGCAACAATCAGAATCAATATGGTTTTGTGAACAGGAAATCATGTTTAATCAATTTTTTGGAGTTCTTTTGGGAAGCAATGTGCTGTGGATAAAGGGGAATTGGTGGATGTACTGTACTTAAATTTCCAGAGGTGTTTGATAATATGCCACATCAAAGATTATTGCCAAAAATAAAACTGTGTTAGCAGGGTCACATATTGGCATGAATAGAAAATTGCTTAGCGAGAAAGAAACGGGGAGTAGGTATAAATGAGTATTTGGTTAGTAAGGTGAAATGAGTGGTGTACTACAGGAATCAGTGCTGTGCTGTCATCTTTTTACAATTTATATAAATGACTCCGAGGAAGAGACAAAAGGTACAGTCGCTTAATTTGCTGATGACTCAAAGATAAATAGGAGAGGAAATTGTAAAGAAGACATAAGGAGGAAATAAAAGGGTAAAGAGAGGTTAAGGGAGAGGACAAAGATCTGATAAATAGAGTTGAATTTGAGAAAATATAAAATTGTCCACTTTGGTGTTAAGAATAAAAAAGAAGTATATCTGAATGGTGAGATATTGTAAGGCTCAAAGATGCGGTAGCATCCAGGTGTCCTAATCCATGGACCTCTAAAGGTTAATATGTAGGTACAGCAAATATTACAAAAGCTAATAGAACATTGATTGGAACTTGGTTGAAGTATCTAACATCCTGAGGGACTTCATAGAGTGCATGTGGAATGGATGTTTCATCTTCTGGGAGAAAGCAGAACTAGAAATCACTGTTTAAAAATTCAAGACAGAGATGAGGATTTATTTTCTCATAGAGCGCCATGAGACTTCGGAACTCTTTCTCAAAAATAGTGGAAATCAACCCTTTGAATATTCTAAGGCAGAGCTAGATAGATTCAGGCTCTCTGAGTGATCCATAACATATCACCGCCACTTTGCCCATCCTATCCAATTCAGCAGGCTTCACACATGATCCTGTGTATAAATCTAGACAGTGAGTGTTATGTGTCCATACAAGAACAAGCCACTCGGTCTAACTGATCCATATTTCTCACAAAGTCCCTTCCTTCTAACCCTGCCATTAAACCTGTCTCTTCTTCCTCATATACAATTCAAGGTTATCTGTTTCAACCAATTCTTCTGATACATTTTCATTACTCTGCTTGCAAAGAAATTCCTCAAATATTTTACGTGGCCGTTAACAGTTAATTTACATTTATACTCCCTTGTCCTAGACTCATTCAGATATGGAAACAATTTTTCCATAGATGTCTTAATTAGGTTTGTACAGAGTGCTGTTTTCATCTGTACTACACATCTCTGTTATTTTTCTTTCCATCCAGATGCTGGAGAAAAGTTCCACATTACCTGGAACATAACAGTGCTTTGTAACATCCAGGAGCACAGCTGATCCAATACAGGATCTAGGTAAGTACAGGATCCATAGGGACAGTTGATCCACAGTCCAGTACCAGGCCTGTGGGGACAGCTGGTCTAGCACTGTTTTCATGGTCCAGCTGATTCAGTATGGGGTCCACAGGTCAACAGATCCAGTTGATCAGTTCAGTATGGGGTCTATAGGTCAGTTATAGATTCATAGTCACACAGCCCAGAAACAGACCCTTCAGTCCAACTTATCCATGCTGACCAGATATCCTAAACTGATCTTGTCCCATTTGCCTGCATTTATGTTGATCCAACACTGGGTCCATGGAGACACCTGATCCAATATCAGTTCCATGGAGATAGGTCAGCTATTCGGTGGACTCAGTAGTTAATCAGTTAGTCTGTGTGGATCAAATGTTCAATCTTCTTGGCCCATAAACTCAGCACTGATTAGCAACACCATGGATGTGGATCACAGCTACACTAAATATCAAATTTATTCAGCCATCTTCACTCTATATTCCTTGATAATCTTGCCTTAGAAAAGTTTTTGGTGTCATCAAGGCCTGCCTACAATGCTACTGGTGCCCTGAACAAGAAAGGAGGCTGGCTTCATTCCGATTCATTTGTGCTGTACCGCTTCCAAGGCTATTGCATCTTTCCAGAGGTACAACTCCCAAAAACTGAATGTTCAACTCTCTATTCCTTCTTCCAAGTCATTGATATATAAAAAAAGCTAATAATAAATTCCTGAGGAACACCAATCATCACATATGGCTGTTCAATATCCAGTCTCTCAACTTATTACCAAGCTATGTTTCAAAGAAGCCTCAAATTCTTTACATTATATATGTGGAATCCTTACCAGAGCATCCTCTATTTCAGCTGTACCCAACCTGTGGCCACTGATGTTAATTATGTCATCCAAACGGCCAGTAATCTTGTAATAGCCTTCCTCTGACCTGTGTGCACCATCACCAGTTAAGTAATATCCTGAAAAGAAATGGGAAATGAATGCAAAACTGTACATTCGTGCAGTAATCTGCTTCTTTCCAACTTGCCTCAATGCTGTGGCTGTCTCCCTGGAAGATAAATGTAGAAGATGCACTGCGATAGTGCTTTTTAAAGGAGTAGCATTTTACAGTCAGTTCTGCTATAGTGTGTGTTCCATCAACACGAATTGTCTGTAATGCGATTGACAAATAAGGGAGTGCTATTTCTAAAATACGAACTTGTGTTGGCCAATATGCGATTCCATCAGTGCGTAGAGGAGTACGTGTCGACATCACATGATTGTTTCACAGGCTTTGACGTGAATACATACAATGTTAGCGCCGAAAGAGTCTCCACGCCGGTGTCACATCATCATTTCACAGGCTTTTTCGTGAAGTGCTTTCTGTGAGAGGTACGCAGTACAACATCCTCCCCCATCATGTCATCTTGATGTTTTTTCAAGCTAAAGTGTTAAATTTACTTTTATTACATTTATTCAAATTGTGCTATCCTTTTTGTTAGGCTTTTGAGTGATTTTTTTTTTTTTGGTGGTCTGCCCCAACGCCATTTTCTATAACATGATGTTGCACAGGAATGCAACTATCCTGTTATAGCAGAACCAACTGTATATCAGAGATAACAAAGTGTAGAGCTGGATGAACACAGCAAGCCAAGCAGCATCAGAGGAGCTTGGCCTGCTGTGTTCATCCAGCTCTATACCTTGTTATCTCAGATTCTCCAGCATCTGCAGTTCCTGCTATCTCTCCAACTGTATATCATATTTTTTTCACGATAACATTGTGTTCGAAGTACTAACTTAATAGCAGGATCTGCTGATATTTAGAAAGTACCAGTATTTTACTCATGATTTATTGCTTTGCTAGAGATTTACAACAGCAGAAGGAGTGGCAAGTTCAAAAGAAGACAGTTTTGTCTTCTGATCCTGTATTGTTCAAAGGTCAAGAACAGAACTATTCACTTCTCCCAATAGTTTATTAACTTATCTTGTCCCAACATTTGATACTTATTTATCTTTATTGAAAACCAACAAGGCTAACCATCTATTTTAGTGCTCATTTACAATTTTCCAACAGATTTTGGATTTTGGAAAGAAGGTATAAATTATTCAGTTAGCCATTGGATGAAAAGAGAATACAATTTGATATTTGCTGAAAAGAATGTATCTGGCACCAGTGTACGTGACCGCGGGATGTAAGGATGAAACTTTCTCAGCTGCAAGACTGAGAGTTCTTTCATATTGTAAGTGTAAACTAGATGACTTTTCCTTCCCTGCCTCTGATATCTTCTCCAGCCTTTCAATACTCGAGAACTTTGCATTTTTGCATCTTTTGCTGCTTGCATATTGCAAACTTCCTTCAACTTTGCTTTAACAACCACATCTTTACCTTACCAGGTCAAATTCTGGTATTCTCTTGTTAAACCTCTTTATTTCTTTACTTTGTCCTCCTTTATGTTCCTTCTTAAACTTTTTTCGTCAAGCTTTGGTTGCTTTTTTTCCTTCATGGGATAAGGGCGTGGCTGTCTAGCCCAGCATTTATTACCTGTCCCTAATTGCCCAGAGGGCTGTTAAAAGTCAACCACCATTGCTGTGCTCTGGAGTCACATGTAGGCCAGACCAGGTGAGGATGGCAAATTTAACCTTCCATAAAAGACGTTAATGAACAAGTTGGGTTTTTAGCGACAGTCAACAGCAATTACATGGTTGCCTTTTATTCCAGACTTACATTGAATACAGATTTGTCTATCTTCTGTAATGGGATTCAAATCCATGTCTCTAGAACATTAGATTGGGGTTCTGGATTACAAATCCAATGACATTACCATCATTCCACTGCTCCTTCCCCTAGCACTGCCTACCTACTTGTTCTAATATATAGCTCTGCTTCAATTTTTGCCAGATAACCCTCCTATAAAGTGCCTTGAGACATTTTCTTAATACATTAATTACACTATATAAATGCAAAGTGTTCTTTTGTACTCTAGTTCTTTTGATAAACACCTTCATTCTGTGAACTCCAGTTACTGATTCTCCCACCAGTAGAAACACTTTTTCCTTCTTTATTCTTTCCACACATCAAAAGGTGCTGAATGCTTGTCCTAAATCTCCTTTCCCTAAGGAGAAAATCCCACATTGTTTAGTCTCTCTACATAACTGAATTCCCTCAGCTATAATGTCATTCTGGTATATTTCCTCTGCACCTGCTTGATATTATACTTTCCCACCAGAATATTTCATGGAAAGTAAAACTGGAAGAGTTAAAGGTAAAAATCCAAATCCAATAATGTTGAAAGGGAGATCAGCAATTTATGTTTAGTGCCATAAACTACCTTAGTTGCAAACAACTGAGAAATGTATGTCTGTAAAAGCATAAAAGGTCGATTTTCTCTGAATACATTGATGTCTTACCTGGATATTTTTTGAAATATGAATTCAGGAATCTGGGATGATCCCCATAGATACTTCTGGCAATGCCTGGCCAAGGCTTTGTAATGCAGAGAGCACCAGTAACATCATCTCCCTCCATCTGATTACCCTATACATAGATACATGCGTATTCATTATTAATCAAGAATGATACCATAACTGAGAGAGCACAGCAATCAGGAAAGATGACACAGACTTGAGATCTTTCCCAAAGAAAATAAGTTTGAGAGGTGACCTGATAGAGGTCTTTAAAAATATGACAGAATTACACGGAATTTTACAACACAGTAACAGGCTATTCAACCCAATTGCTCTATCCTGTTTCTTTCTCCACAGGAGCATGATCCCATCATAATTAATCTAACTGTATCAACATATCATTCTATTGTTTTCTCCCTCGAATACTAACTTTTAACAAGTTATTTAATACATGTATGCTATTCTCTTAACTAAGGCTGCAGGTTCCACACACACAACACTTTCTGGAAAAAGTGGTTTCTTCTGAATTCCGAATAAGGCTTATTAGTGACTATCTGACATTTCCAGCCCCCATTTCTGGATTTCCCCACAAGTGAAAGCAGTTGTCTATATCTATTCTATTAAGCCTCCTTTAGAATTTAAAAGACCGCTGTTTGTTAATTCCTCAGTTTATTGTTTTCTACTGAAATGTGCCACACTTGTTCAACCTTTCCTGGACAATTTCAAAACTACAGGCTATGAATGTATGATAGTCACTGATAAATCCAATAAAATATTAAGCAGAAACAATGAATCTGAGTGATGAAAATGTAGATCTCACTACCAAAAAAAGTGGTTGAAATGAATAGCATATAACATGGATTTGAGGCAGAGCTAGGAGTAAGAACTTGACGGACAAAGCAATAGAATGATGAGCTCATAGAGTTTGATGCTTATGGTGGGAGAGAGCTTCTTGAAAAGCATAAATATCAGGATAGACCAGTTGGAGAAACAAGTAATGGGCAGGAAATGTTGCCCAACAATAGATTTCCACATTCTGAGTGCAGGTCTTTTGGAGTTGCTTGACTGAAGGTCATGATGTCAACAAGTATTTTCAGTTTAGTAACTTTGGCCAGGAAGCTAGACCTAGTTTATACATACATGGTTGTTGGGGCTTGAATATTCAACCATTATGCCTTCTAAAGTAACCTTCATAATGTTGAGGAATAGACATTCTCCTTCACAAACTTAGTAACAGTTTACTGAAGTAGAGCTCCCACCCACTGTAAAACAGACCCAACTTTCATTCCATTAAAACTAACACATGTTGTCATAGTCCTAATAGAAATATAATTGATAAAATGACAATATGATAAAACATGGAGTACTTGATTGAACTTATTTCAGACATGCATGGGATCCACACAACTCCCTTAGTCGCACAATAGGTCTGAATGGGAAAAAACTACTTCTTCTAATAAACATTTGTGATCTTTGTGATTTATTTTAGTGACTTATGATTGTACTATTAAGTTATATGCATTTCTGACATGCTTTCCATAGACAGAACGCTTTTCTGCACATCTTTTTATGTTAGTAGTCCATTCACTCCATGCTCACATTGTCCTTCTCATAAAATATATAGGTTGACATTAGAAATAAGAAAGGAATGATCACCTTGATGGGATTGTACTATAGGACCCACCCCCTCCCAATAGTCAGAGGGATATTGAGGAACATAGATGTACAGAAATCTCAGATATATGTAAGAATAATAAGGTTATAGTAGTAGGTGATTTTAACTTTCCAAATATTGACTGGCGCTACCATAGCATTAAAGGTTTGGATGGTGTAGAATTTGTTGAATGAGTTCAAGAAAATTTTCTTTATCAATGTGTAAATGTTCTGAATGGAGAAGGAGCAAAACTTGACCTTCTCTTGGGTAACACGGCAGGCAAGTGACTGAAGTGATAGTAGTAGAACAGTTTGGGTCTAGTGATCATAATTCTATTTGTTTTAAAACAGTTATGGGAAATGATAAGCTTCCATGAAAGTTAAAGCTTTTAATCAGAGTAAGGCAAATTCTAATGAATGAGACAAGAACATTCAAAAGTTGACTGGAGAAGACTGTTCATAAGTAAAGGTATGTATGATAAATGGGAGGCTTTCAAAAGTGTGATAATGAGAGTTCAGAGTCATTATGTTCCTGTTAGAATGAAAGGTAATGCTGGTAGGATTAGCAAGCAATGGATGAATAAAGATATTGAGTTCTAGTCAAGAATAAAAAAAATCATATATTAGATATAGACAACTGGATTCAAATGAATCTCTTGAACAGTATAAACAGTGTAGGGGCATTCTTAACAGGGAAATTAGAAAGGCAAGGAGGAGATATGAAATATCCTTGGCCATTAAGGTTAAGGATAATCCAAAGAGATTCTACAAGTAAATTAAGAGCAAGACAGCATCTAGAGAGAGAGTAGGGCCCCTTAAAGATGAAAGAGGTCATCTTTGTGTTGAACCTCAGGAGATGGGAGAGCTACTAAATTAATATTTTGTGTGAGAATTTACTGTGGAGAAGGAACTGGAGGCTAGAGAACTCAAGGAAATAAATATTGGTGTTTTTGAAAACAGTCCACATTACAGATGAGGAAGTGCTGGAGATCTTAGAAAATATAAAAGTGGATAAATCTCCAGGACCTGATTTAGTGTATTCGAGGACGTTGTGGGAAATTAGGGAGGAAATTGCAGAGGATCCTGAAAAATATTTGTATCATTTATAACTACAGGTGACTTGCCGGGTGAATGGAGAGTGGCTAATGTTGTGCCTTTGTTTGAGAAGGGTGTAAGGAGAAGCCTAAGAACTTAGACCTGTAAGTCTGACTTTGGTAGTGGGAAACTTGTTGGAGGTGATTCTGAAAGATAGAATTTTTATGCATTTGGAGAGGCAAGGAATAATCAGGGATAGCATGGATTTGTGTGAGGAAAATCGTGTGTCGCAAATCTGAGTTTTTTTGAGGAAGTGACTAAGGAAATTGAGGGCAGTGCAGTAGACATTGTTTACTTGGACTTTAGTAAAGCCTTTGACAAGATTCCACACGATAAACAAATTAAGTTAGGTCACTTGGGGTTCAGGATGAGCTTGCCAAGTGACTACAAAATTGGCTTAATAGCAGCAGACAGAGAGTGATGGTGGAGGGTTGTTTTTCAGACTGGAGGCCTGTTATGAGCAGTGTTCCACAGGGATCAGTGCTGGATTGACTTTTGTTTGTCATTTCTATAAATCATTTGAATGATAATATAGTAGGCATGGTTAACAAGTTTGCAGATGATGCCAAAATTAGTGAAGCCAGTGAAGAAGGTCATCTAAGATTACAGAGATCTTGATCAATTAGGACAATGGGCTGAGGAGTGGCAGATCGAGTTTATTTTGGATAAATGTGAGGTATTGCATTTTGGTAAAACAAACAAGGGCAGGACATATACAATTAAAAGTAGGGTTTTGTGTCGTGTTTTAGAACAGAGAGACCAAGGGGTTCACGTACATTATTCTTTGAAGTTTGCATCACATGCAAATTGGATCATTAAGAAGGCATTTAGCAGGATTGCCTTCGTTGCTCAGATCTTTGAATATAGGAGTTGGGACATTATGTTGAGGTTGTACAGGATGCTGGTGAGACACCTTCTGCAGACTGTGTGCAGTTCTGGTCGCCCTATTATAGGAAGGATATCATTAAGCTGAAGAGGGTTCAGAAATGATTTACCAGGATGTTGCTGGGAATGGAGGGTTTGAGTGATGAGGGGAGGCTGGATAGACTGGGACTTTTTCACTGGAGCAAGGGAGGCTGAGGGTTGACCATACAGAGGTTTATAAAATTATGAAGGGTACAGATAAGGTGAATGGCAGGTGTTTTTTTTTTTCCGTAGGGTGGAGGATTTCAAGAATGGGGAGCATATTCTTCAGGTGAGAGCGAAAGATTTTAAAAAAGACATGAGGGGCAATTTTTTTTTTTATACAGAGTGGTTCATGTGTGGAAAAAACTTCCAGAGAAAGTGGTGAATACAGGTGCAATGACAATGTTTAAAAGACATGAATAAGAAATGTTTGTAAGGATTTGGGCCAAGCACAGGCAGCTGGGACTAGTTTAGTTTGGGATTATGGTCAGCGTGGACTGGTTGGACTGAAGGTTCTGCTATCGTGCTGTATGACTATCTAAGAGGAGGCTTTTTAACTGCCACTATTAGTGATACTTTTAATTGATTTCCAATGGTTGCTCTTTTCTCATACAGAATGGAATTTTGCACAGTCATCTCACCCTGGTCCAACCAAGAGTTGTTGAAATTTCTATAGGAGGAAGCTTGCAGGCACTGGGTATTGTATTTATGCGTTCCACCAGAATTACTTCTTTATTATTAAGTCTCAACCAAACACTTACTTTCTCATCCATTATAGCAAGCTGTATCCCAAAGAATGGTCTCATAGCCATAGAAGGCAAAATCTTTGCTCCTTCCTCTGAAGGCCGTGGAGAGATGCATACACCGCCTGTTTCTGCTCACAAATGTATGGAAGTAAAGGGAGGTTCATATTGAAATGATGTCAATATACTGGATCGGTGAAGCATGATAAAATATAATTAGGACATTCATTCTCCTTTGCAAGAGCTGTCAGCTTTATGGAAGAGATTTTACTATAAAATTTAATTTACTTAGCTTGCCTTTAAATGGCTAATAAAAATATTGAATCATCCCTTAGTCTTCTGCTTTTCTTAAAATAATCATAATATCTCAAGATTCTTCATGATTAAAGCATGAAATCTCAATCTGACTTATTGTCTTATTTTTAATTATCTAGGAAATTCTGGAATGCTGCTAGCTGCCTCAACACCTGTAGGTTACAGAAAGGAAGTTCTCACTCCTGTTTGTTATCCCTGCTCATTGTGCAGAAACAGAAAATCAAAGAATAGTGTAGCACAAAATGAGGCCCTCCAGTCTGTGCCAGCTCTAAAAGTGAACCAGTTGATCTTATTCACTACAATTTTCCCTGCAAGTTTTCCTCCTTGAAGTAATTATCGAATGCACTTCTGAAAGCTTCTATTGTACCTGGAACCACCGATCTATTAAGTAACGAATTCTAATTCTTAACCATTTATAGTCATAGAGTCAAACAACATGGAAACAGACCGTTTGGCCCAACTCGTATATGCTGACCACATTTCGTAAACTGAACTCGTCCCGTTTGCCTGTATTTGGCCCACATCCCTCTAAATCTTTCCTATCCCTGTACCAGGCCAAATGTCTTTTAAATGCTGTTTTTGTATTCACCTCTACCATTTCCTCTGGCAGCCTGTTCCATTTATGCACCACCCTGTGTGAAACATTTGCCCCTCAAGTCCATCTTAAATCTTTCCCTTTTCACCTTAAACCTATGCCCTCTAGTTTTTGACTCCCCTACCCTGGGGAAAAAACCCTGGCTATTCACCTCCACTATGCCCTTCATGATTTCGTGCCCCCAGCTTCTTACGTTCCAAAGAAAAAAAAAATTCCAGCATATCCAGCCTCGCTATAACTCAAATCCTCCAATCTCGGTAACATTCTTTTAAATTTTTGCTGCGCCCTTTCTAGTTTAATAACATCTTTCCTATAGCAGGGCAGCCAGAATTGTATGCTATATTCCAAATGTGGCCTTACCAATGTCTTGTACAGCTGTAACATGACGTGCCAACCCCTGTACTCATTGCTCTGACCAGTGAAGGCAGCGTGCCAAACACCTTCTTTACCACTATATCTACCTGTGACGCCACTTTCAAGGAATTAAGTATCTGCATCCCAGGTCTCTGACGGAAACACATCCCCAGGGCGCTACCATTAACTGTGTAAGTCCTACCTTGGTTTGTCTTACCAAAATGCAAATCTTTACATTTATCTAAATTAAACTCCATCTGCCATTCCTCATCCCACTGGCCCAGTTGAACAAGATACCATTGTACTCTTAGATAACTTTTTCACTGTCCATTATACCACCAATTTTGGTGTCATCCGCAAACTTACTAACCATGCCTCCTACATTCTTATCAAAATCATTTAATTAAATAACAAACAACCGTAGACCCTTGCGGCACACAGTTTGTCGCAGGCTCCACTCTGAAAAACAACCCTCTACCACCACTCGCTGTCTCCTAACGTCAAGCAAATTTTGAATACAGTTGGCTAGTTCTCCCTGCATCCCGTGTGATCTAACCTTACTATTCAGTCAACGATGTGAAACCTTATCAAAGGTCTTGCTAAAGTACATTTGACAACATCTACTGCTCTGTCTTCTTGGTCACCACTTCAAAAAAACTCAATCAAGTTTGACAGACAAGATTTCCGACAGACAAGATTTCCAACACACAAAGCCATGCAAACTATCCCTAATAAACCTTGCTTTTCCAAATACATATAGATCCTGTCTCTCAGAAGCCCCTCCAACAACTTACCCGCCACTGAAATTAAGCACACTGGTCTGTACTTTCCTAGCCTCTCCTTTCAGCCTTTTTAAATAATGGCATAACATTACCATCCTCCAGTCTTTCAGCACCTCACCCATGGCTGTCGATGATACAAACATCTTGGCTAGAGCCCAGCAACTTCTTCCCTAGCTTCCCACAATGTCCTGGGATACACTTGATCAGCTCCCAGTGATTTACCTATCTTTATGGATTTTAAGACCTCCAGCATCTCCTCTTATGTAATGTGGACTCTTTTCAAGATGTCACTATTTAGTTTTCCGAGTTCTCTGGCTTCTATGTCTTTCTTTGTAGTAAATACTGACAAGAAATATTCGTTAAGGATCTCACCCATCTCCTGTGGTTCCACACATAGAAGGCCTCGTTGATCTTTAACGGTCCTATTCTTTCCCTAGCTAGTCTTAATATACTTGTAGAATCTCTTTGGATTCCCCTTAACCTTAAATAAAACCACTGAGATAGCAAGAACTGCGGATGTTGGATTCAGAGATAACACAGTGTGGTGCTGGAGGAACACAGCAAGCCAGGCAGCATCAGAGGAACAGGAAAGCTGACGTTTCAGGTCGGGACTCTTCTTCAGATTTTTCTGCTTTCCTGTACCTTTGATGCTGCCTGGCCTGCTGAGTTCCTCCAGCTCCACACTTTGTTATCTCCTAAATAAAACCATCTCATTTCACCTTTATGCCTTCCTGATTTCCCTCTTAAGTGTAGTCCTACACTCCCTATATTCCTCAAGGGTTTAACTTGATCCCAGCTGTCTATACCTGGCATATGCCTCCTTTTTCTTGACCAGAACCTCAATATGTTTAGTCATTCAATGTTCCCTACTCCTGCCATCCTTGCCCTTCACACTAACAGGAACATGCTGTCCCTGAACTCTTGTTATCTCACTTCTGAAAGCCTCCCACTTGTCAGATGACCCTTTATGTGCAAACAGCCTCCCCCAAACAACATTTGAAAATTCCTGTCTAATACCATTTGTTACATAAATAAGGCTTTTCCTCAAATCACCCTCCAGTTCTTTTGCCAATCACTTTAAAACTATGTCCTCTGACAATTGACCCTCTGGCTGTTAGAAATTGCTTATTTAAACCCTTTATGATGCAGCCCTCCTCTATAAATCTTCTCTTGTCCTTTTCTGTTCTAAGTAGGAGAATCTAACTTTTCTAGTCTATCCCAATAATGCAGCCATCCAGATAAAATGCCACAGAAGAGATTTACTTGAATGTTTCCAAGGATGAGGGATCACAGTTTTGAGGACTTTAAAAACCCATACATATATAGACAAAACCTCAACTGCATTCCCCTCATCCAAAAAAAATTTATCAATTTTACCCTTAACAAATCTGTGTTGTCTCCAATTTATTAGTCCATGCTTGTCCAAGTGGATGTTAATTTTCTCCAGAATTAATGTTTTAAAAAGGTTTCCCAACACTAGTGTTAAACAATCTGTGTGTAACTGTTAGTTTATCCTTCTCCTCCATTTCTTGAACAAGGTGTAACATTACAATCTGCCAGTTCTTCAGCGTTACCCCGGTTGCTAAGGAGAATTAAGAAGATTGTTGCCAGCCCCTTGACAATCTGTACCATTTCGTCATCAACTTAGGGATGCATTCAATCTGAACCTTTAAATACTTTAAATACAGCAGGTCTTCCTTATATCAAGTATCCTGGCAACTTCCTCATTTGGTAAACACTCTTGCAAAACACTCATTCAGTAGTACCCCAACTATGCCTTCTACTGCCACAAAGAAGTCTTCATTTTGGTCCATAATCAGTCCACAATTTCTGTTATAGTCCTTTCCACTATTAATTTGTCTATTGAAGGCTTTTGGGTTCCCTTTCACGTTATCCGGCATTCCCATTTCGTTTCTTTACACTTCTTCTTTCCCTTTCACTTATCCTCTGTACACCTTACATTCCACCAGATCCTCCCTTGTATTCCATGGACAGAATCAGAATCAATTATTCTGGCTGGTGACAAATAATGACCCATCAAAGTCCAGACAGTGACTGACATCTGTAGAATAATATACTTGGCAAAGTATCACATTTTTAGAGGAGAGATGGATAAGAACAGCAAAGAAAAAAACTAATTAATTTATATTAGAATGCAGCAATTATTTAATAACCAAGAATAGAAATTAAAGCCCACGTTACATGACAGTATCAGAGTTGAAAAGAATAGAACTGATAGGCAAATCAAGAAACAGCGATAAGATACTACCAAGCTTATCTTTCAAAGGCCAGTAGCAGAGAGAGAGAGTTAAGTGAGATAAGAGTTCCACAGTTCCATGGTCCTAGGAATGAAAGAGCTAAAGTTAAATGAGGTTACTCATTTTGTACTATCAATACCAGCACAATGACATTTGTCATAACTATATTATTTAGGAAATAAACAGAATCTACTACCCTCAGATTAAAAGGAACTATAAAGTGTTCTGTCAGCTTAGCCCTATCAGTATTAATCTCTGAATCAGACAATGTGCTTCATACTTGAGATCAGCAGCCCTGTTTGTTAGCGTGTAATTGAGGTTGTGTGCAGTGCAAGAACTTTTAAATGATCCTGATTTCCATATACAATTGTCTTTTAGCTTGAATCAGGTGGGTGCTTTAGACATGCAAGCAATAGGACCCTCTTCTGGTGCAGTGATAGTGTCCCTCCCTCTGTCCAAGTCTCACTTGCTCCAGAGGTGTGTTGTAACATGTCTGAACAGATTGATTAAAAATATGTATGCCCCTTACACTGACTGCTTCAGCAGTATTATCTTAAGGACATTACTGTTCCCTCAATACCAGGTGAAGGCATTCAAAGTTGAGACTCTTCTTAGTTTGAGAGTGTTCAGCAACCATAATAACCAATTCAGATTTGAAATCCTCTTACAACAACATTGTACATTCATAAAATATAGGATGGCAGTACTCCACAGGATATAATCTGACAAATATTGATACCAAGATGAGAAAGAAATATTACATTAGGTGACCAAAGACTTGGTCAAAAATGTATATATTGAGGAATGCATTAAAGGCAGAGAGGTGGAAGGGAATTCTAGAGTTTAGAGCTTGAATAACTGACACACAGCGACCAATGATGAATTGTGGGGTGCACAAGAAGCGAAGGAATGCTTAAATGCACTTTCAGTGCAAAAAGCACAAAAAATTCTAAATTGTCTGAATATTTACGCATATCCAAACTTTCCTCACCTGTCTGCCACCAGGTATCCACAAGTGTACATCGGCCATCTCCCACAACCTTCCAAAACCACTCCCAGGCCTCGTGGTTAATAGGTTCCCCTACTATAAGAGAAACATTAGCAGCTAAACTATGCAGAGTAGATTGAGGAAGTAGTTTGAGAATTGCAATTGGGGTTAAATCACAGTACAGAATTATCCTAGAATTCATGAACCAAATGCATAAATACACATGGCTGATTTAGTCAGTCCTGAATATTTTTTCCCATTCCACTCTTAAAATATTACCCCAGCCCCACACCTGATCCCCACATATCTGGGCTATTATGCTGAGTTATAAGGAAGAGAACATTTTCTTTCTATTCATTCATGGTATGAATTGCTGGCTAAGCCAAAAGTTGTTACTCATCCCTATATGTCTTCAAGAAGGTGTTGGTGAACTGTCATTTTGTATCACTGCAGATTCACTAACGTCCTTTAGGAAACACAATCTGCCATCCTTATTTGATCTGGCCTGCATGTTACTCCAGACCCACAGCAATAACGGTTGACTCTTAACTAGCCTCTGAGCAATTACAAATGCTCTACTAGCCAACAGCACCCACATCCCATCAATGAATATTAATGAAATTCCTGGTGGGTAGATACTGCACAGTACTGTTATGCTCAAGAACTACTTAAGCACTGGAGCTGCAGTCATCCAGGAAAGTGGGGAGTATTCCATTGCAGATCTGAGTTGTGCCATATAAATGGTAGACAGACTATGGGGAGTCAGGAGGTGAGTCACTCACTGCAGAATTCCTAGTCTCTGACCTGTTCTTGTAGCCACACTTTTTATACAATTAGTCCACTTCATATTCTGGTCAATAATCTCGTTCAAGACCAATTGGAATCTTCTATGTTTTAGCAGGTATTTATATAGGTGTTTTGAGAGGATAGCTCAGGTGGCTGGATGACTGGTTTGCAATGCAGAGTGATGCTACAGCATGGATTCAATTCCTGTGATCAATATGAACATCCTGCCTTGTCAACCTCGCATGAGGTGTGGTGACCGTCAGGGTAAACCACCACCAGTCATCTCTCTCTAATGGGAGTATAGCGCTATAGTCCTCTGGGACTATGGCAACTTTACCCTTGAGAAGATGCTTTCTTTGTTAGGGAATAATCTCTCAATAAGTGCTCACCTGTTAAGAGTTTCACTTGTTCATTATTACATGAGCTATTACTGATCAGAGATAATAATAACTACCACTCCAGACAACTGAACTTCCAATTCCAAGTTTCAAGGTTATATTAGACTTGACTGACATTTGCAGTCCATTATAGAAATCACTTTTGACTAATTACTCAGGGCAGGGAGGGAAATTTCTAGGGAATGTGGAGTAGATTGGCAATTTTCAAGTCACTTCTGCCTCATAGGTTGAAAGAAATATATTGATGAGCTCGGGATAGAACCTTTGTGCCACACAAGGCAAGGTATTGCCCATCTCTAAAAAGAGAGAACCCAGCAATCAATGGGATTACCATTGTGAATCCCCTCCTATCAATATCCCACAATTACCATTTATCAGAAACTGAACTGGACCAACTATATAAGTACTGCGGCTACAAGAGTAAGTTAACGGCTAGGAATTCTGAAGCGAGTAACACACCCCCGTACTTCAAGTCTACAAGGCACAAGTCAAGAGTGTGGAGGAATGCTTTCCACTTGCTTGGATGGGTGCAGCTTCAACAACACTCAAGAAGCTTAGCACCACCTGGAACAATGCAACATGCTTGGCTGGCACCCTATCAACCACCTTCTACGTTCACTCCCTTCACCCAGATGCACAGTGGCAGCAGTATGTGCAATCTACGTGGTGCACTGAAGTAATCACCAAGAATCTTCCAACTTACCTTCCATACCAGACACCTTTACCACCGAGAAGGATAAGGGCAGCAAATGCATAGGAACACCAGTACCTGCAAGTTCCCCTCCAAGCCACCTACTATTCTGATGTGGATCTATATTATTGTTCCTCCATTGTTGCTGGGTCAAAAACCTGGCATTGTGGGTGTACCTACGCTAAACAGAGTGTAGCAATCCAAGAAGACAGCTCACCACCATCTTCTCAGCAGCAGCTAAGGATGGGCTATAAATGCTGACCCAGCCAGCATCAACCCTATCCCCTGGGTGAATAAAAAAAATTACCATAAGGAATTGAGGCACTGTGGCACTATCAGGGAACTCACATGTTAATTCTACTTACAGTAGTTTATTAAGTTAAATAGACCCTAGCATGTAATAAAAGCAGATCATTTTGGAACTACCCAGCAATCAGCCAACATACATGGACAGAGAAGTGATTACCTACAATTCCCTGGCTTATCTTGGTCTTCTTCATTGAATTGGAGAATGACAAGTTGGCCTGTCTACAAAGTGAATTATTAATCCGGAAATCACTGGCATTTACCCGTGCCTAGTGTTTTCAAGGATGATCGATCATACTTGGACACCCAGCTGTCTCCATATTTCAGTAGCAGACGAATGGCTGTTGGAGCCCCATAAAACTGATTGATTTGTAACCGCTGCACAGTTTCCCAGTATCTACCTAATAAACAAATGTAATGAAAATTAATAATTGCACACTTCATCTTTCATGAATTCAATCAAAACGCATCTAAACTAATCCAGTTGTTTAACTGAGGTCAATTGGTGTCAATAGATTGGAAAAATAGGTGTTTCTTAGTTAATTAATTCAGTTTAATAGTATACAGTAGTTTCAGACTTACTTACATCAGTCTTTCCCATTGAGATCGAAAGTGAAATAATTAAAGTATTCAACTTAAATAAAGAAATAAAAACTCCATGGAAAGATGATACATTGGCTAAGTAACGAGGGTAAGAGTTGTGTTAATTTGAAGAAACAGTTTTACAACTTTGCTTGACCTTTCTTAAGTCATTAAAGTTTTTCACTGTACCAACTTCCACAGTTGAGTTTCTGCATTACAGAACTTCCTTTATTTTTATCCCCTTTGTTCATCCTTCATCAAACACTCAGTTTCCGGCCGACCCTCATGTGATGATGGCTGTTTCCTCACTTTATGTCAGTGGTCCATCCACAAACGTAAATTTGAGATATGGTATGGTTATCTTGGTATAAATAGTCTCCTTATGTCATGGTCTGCTCCACTGAATGTTGCACTCTGTGTCTCACTTTATTTTATTTATAGCTTAAAAACTGATAGAAAATTTCTATCAGAATGAAAAGCTTTGATTATGTGGAGAAATTACAGGATCTCTGAGATTGTTCTCCTTACAGCAGAAAAGGTGAATATTTCATGCTGGTATTCAAAGTTATGAAGTGTTTGAGTAGAGACTATAGAGGTGAGAACTTATTGCTGCAAATTGTGAATTAGAATGCGACAGTTGAGATATAGCTACAGAATATCTACAGAATATTAGAAAAAAATTCTACAGAATTATGAGTATAACATCAAACAGAGGTCCTATTTGAATAGTTCATTCAAAAAGCCAGACATGATGGGCTGATGTACTGATACACATGATGCCTCCTTATGTATTGTATTATTCTTCGAAACTGTTCCCTCTGGCAAATGGACAATAACCAAAGGATATATTTAAGATAAATGGCAAAGGAACCAGAGAGGAACAGATGAGGAACATTTATTTTTACACAGTGAGTTTTTATGATGTGAAATGCACTGCCTAAAAGAATGGTAGTAGCAGATTCAATAGTAACTTTCAAAAGAGATCCAGATATATATTTGAAAATAAAAGAAAATGCATAGATGTGGGGTAAGAGGCAACAGAATGCAGCTAATTTACTGTCTCTTTTAAAAGCTGACCCAGGCATGATGGGCGAAATGGCCTCTCTTTGTGCTGTAATATGCTAAGATTTGATTGTGCAGTTTTGTAGTGGTTATATTCCCAATAAGGTCAGAGCAAATTAATTCATCAAGGCATTTGAGAATTTGAATTCAGTTCAAACTAATTTGTATAATTTGCAAATAAAAAGCTGATTTAGTTCCCACCACTCACAGCGGGTACGTGAGTGCTGATGAAATTTACTTGCTATACAAGACAGATAGTCTATCTCCTCTATCTGTGATATTTGTGACGTTCAGTGGAAATTGCTGAAGAACCACTGAAATATCAACAGTTAAGTGCAAAAATTTACTCAAATTTCAGCTATTACACTGTAATGCTTTTGGATATTTTAAATCATCCCTTATGCAGAAAGGTATAGTCAGAAAACTGAAAACCAAACAATGTTAAGGGAAATTCAATTGTAATAACGCAGTTTTAAAAACATTTATTGCTGGATTGTTGGTCCTACCAGCTGAGCTAGCAATTATTGCCACTTGAACTGACTGACTTACTAGGGCCATTTCAAAAGTCACTTAAGGCCCAACCACATGCTGTTGTTCTGGCATCATACGTAGGCCAGACCAGGCAAGGTAAACAGATTTCCTCCCCTCAAAGATATTAGTGAACCAGATGGGTTTTTAAGACAATTGAGAATGGTTACATGATCACTATGAGACTAAATTTTAATTCCAGATTTTCATTGATTCAAATTTCACCATCTACCCTGACGGGATTCAAGCCCATGTCCCCAGAGCATTAACTCTGGATTACTCATCCAGCGACAATACCACTACACCACCACCTTCCCATTAGCAGTCGAACCATTACAAAGAAAATAAGAAAGCACTTGTCTTAGTATGGCTCTTGTCATGACCTCAGGACACCCTGAAGCACCTTCCAGCCAATTTAAGTACTTACTAAAGGGTCAACGCTGTAGTGGTTGAAGAAATGTGGCAATTAACTTATGATCAGAAAGGCCCCACCAATAGCAGTAAGAAAAGAACCAGATCATCCGTTTTAAGTGATCTTGTACAAGGGTCAAATATTGGACTGGACATTAGAGGGAATATCCTAACACTCCTTCAACATTATGCCATGAAATCTTTTATGTTCATCTGAGATGGAAGGCGTGTTAATGCCTCCTGTAGAAGATGGCAATTCTGACAAAGAAGTGATCCTTCAGTATTGCACCAGGGCACACATTGAAAGTTTTTGCTGAATCTCTGAAGTGGGGCTCAAATCCACAACATCTAGGTAAGAGGCAAGAGTGCTGCTACCACTAAGTATTCTAGGGCGTTATATCTTACATATATATCTTATATCTAATTAGATATAATAATATCTAATTATTAGGCTGGAGAACTATGCCTTAATGAAGTATACACTAAATTAACTAGCTGAACATCTGTCTCGGTCCTAAATTGGCACCATGTTTATCATTTTGCAAATAGCAACTTTGTAATTTACTTTGCACTGTTTGATGAATGGATTCTTGATCTCTGCTAAGGCTTGTTAGCTGTACAGACTTTATCAGTAGATGCGACCATAAAGCTGTCAGACTGTCAGCAAAATCCCAACTGATTTGCTAATATCCATACAGCGATTCACGATGAAAGCCCATCACCATCATCTCAGGGCAACTAGAGAACAGTTATAATTGATTGGAAGGTAGCAAACCACTGTTCAAGAAAGGAGGGAGGGAGAGAGAGAGCAAACAGGAAAATACAGGCCAGTTGGCTTCACGTCAGTTCATGGGCAACACCGGGATCTATTATTAAGAAAGTGGTAACAGGCACCTAGAATATCCTATGATTTAGCAAAGTAAATATGATTTTATGAAAGGGAAATTTAACAAATCTAATCATTTTCTAGGGATGCAACAAACAGAACAAATAAAGGGGAGCTAGTGGCAATAAATGGCAACTTTTACAATAATGCTCACTTCCCGAGCATAAATTTTAGAAAATGTGAAAATGTAGAAAATACAGAGCAAAAGCAAAAGAATGCAAATATTCAAACAGACCTTTAAGAAAATCATAACTGCAGATCCAAACAGTTCCCATTTTGTATTGGTCTCCAAGACAAATGGAGTGATATGATTAAAGAAACATTGAAACAGAATCAGAGGTAGGCTATTTGATCCTTTGAGCTTGATCACAGCTATTCACTCAACTCAGAACTGCTTTCATCCCATACCCTTTGATCCCTTAAGCTTTAATAACAATATTTAACTCCTTGAACACATTCAAGATTTTGGCCTCAATTGCATTCTGTGGCAGAGAATTCCACAGGCTCACCACTGTCTGAGTGAAGAAATTTCTCCTCATTTGAGTCCTCAGTGGCTTACCCAATACCCATAGACTGTGACCCCTGGTTCTGAACTCTCCAATCATCAGGAACATCCTTCCTGCATTTACCCTGTCTAGTGCTCTTATAACTTTATAGGTTTCTACTCATTCTTCTCAAGTGCACTGAATAAAATCCTAACCAATCTAGTCTCTCTTTATGTGTTAGTCCTGCCATCCCAAGAATCAGTCTGGTAAATTTTATTTGCACTTCTTCCATAGGCAGAACATCCTTCCTCAGATAAGGAGACTAAAAGTACACTTAATATTCTAGGTATGGTTTTGACCAGGCCCTGTACAATTGCAGCAAGACATCCCTGCCCCTGACGCAAATCCTCTCACTACAAAAGCAACATACCATTTGCCTTCTTTACACCTGCTGCATCTGCATACTTACTTTCAGTGACTGATGTACAAGGATACCCAAGTTTCATTGCACCTCCCCCTTTCCCAACCTATCGCAATTCAGTAATAACCTACCTTCCTGTGGATAACCACACATTTATCAACATTATACTTCATCTGCTACGCATTTGCTGACTCACTCGACTTGTCCAAATTGCACTGAAGCATCTCTTGTACCCTCCTCACAGCTCTCCATCCCACCCAGCTTTTTTGTCTGTGAACTTGGAGATTTTAAATTTAGTGTCCATATCTATAAATCATTAATCAACAAAGAGTATTTCACATGGCACTAATTTTTGTGGTTTGGCTAAATCCTACTAAGGTCACTTGAAAGCTGGAAAAAAAAAATGCTCTCACAAATGCAATGCCTTGCTAGTTGACTGCCAAGGCCTAGTTGAGTAAGTCACGCTCCCAAAGTATGTATGGGTATGTGTATTGGTGTTCAACTGTTTCTTGTAGCTATTTATGCAAGTATATTTGATAAAGGATAACTAACCCCCAATCATGCTTTCATATCTATGGACCACAGTAAACTTTGACCTTCAGGACATAAGTAGTTCCACCAGGCAATTAAAATAGTAGTAGATATACAACTAACTTGCTAACTGATAGATCAGAAAGTGAAATCTGCTTCCTTTTCAGTCAGATGTTGGAAGAAAGAAGATAATGATCAGCTAATTACTCTTTTTGTGTTTCCTGTGAGGTAAATATCTTGGACCCTGGAAGATGTTAAGAAATCACAAGCACAAGCACAAGCCCATCTTTGATTGAACTATGTCTAGACCACTACTAATATGCATAGAAACGTAGAATATAGGAGCAGGAGGAGGCCATTTGGCCCTTCAAGCCTGCTCTGCCATTCTTCACGATCATGACTGATTGTCCAACTCAATAGCCTAATCCTGCTTTCTCCCCATAACCTTTGATCCCATTCACCCCAAGTGCTATATCTAGTCGCCGCTTGAATACATTCTGTGTTTTGGCATCAACTACTTCCTGTGGTAATGAATTCCACAGGCTCACCACTCTTTGGGTGAAGAAATATCTCCTCATCTCCGTCCTAAATCATCCAACCCGAATCCTCATACTGTGACCCCTGGTTCTCGACACACCCACCATTGGGAACATCCTCCCTGCATCTAACCTGTCCAGTCCCATTATAATTTTATAAGTCTGTATGAGATTCCCCCTCATTCGTCTGAACTCTAGCGAAAACAGTCCCAACCTAGTCAATCTCTCCTCACACGTCAGATCCACCATCCTTGGAGTCAGCCTGGTAAACCTTCGCTGCACTCCCTCAAGGGTAAGAGCATCCTTCTTCAGAAAAAGATACCAAGATTGCACACAATATTCCTGGTGTGATCTCACTAAGGCCCTGTACAACTGCGACAACACATCCCTGCTCCTGTACTCGAAACCTCTTGCAATAAAGGCCAACATACCATTTGCCTTCTATACCGCCTGCTGCACCTGCATGCTTACCTTCAGCGTCTGGTGCACAAGGATGCCCAGGTCCCACTGCACAGTCCCCTCTCCCAATTTACAGCCATTCAGGTAGTAATCTGCCTTAAACTTCAGACTGCACTGTGGATAGAACCCTTGGTTTATTCCCAACACGTACACTTTGCATTTCTTATTTCATTTCCATACATACCAGAAAGTATTCCTTGATCTTAGATGATAAGTAACATCGATGATCAGTGTTTAGGGAAATAACTTCTTGACTTATGGTTCTTTCAATCAATTAAAACAATTTGCATTTCTTATGTAATTGTGTATTTTGTCTATCTCTTTTGCTCATAGGTTTGCTCTGTAAAGGTATCTTTATGAGTACAAAGTTGTACCTTAAATATCTGTTAATTTGAGAACAAGCTATTAGCTTTTCATGGTTAATGTATGGTTTCAAGTACTGTAAACTTCAACAACGCATGGATCTTAATGCTCCTCTTCCTCCTCTTTTACTTTTCTCTGATCCTAACTCTTCTTACAAACTTACTCTTGCAGTGAATTTACAAAGCCTCAGATTTTCAGTACCCGCAGTATTCTGCATTTTACATAATTGTGTGCTTTCACACATGGAAAATTTGTGTCCGCTTCCATGTATAGAGACACTGCACTGCTTGAATTACAAGCCTTAGGAAGATTGTCATCTTGGATTTTTTAGAATCCACTGAAATTGAGACATGCACAGAACCTCATTCTGGCTCCTGGTTGTGGAATCATATTTATTGCAACAGGAAGGCCCAGTCTATAGGTTTCACAGTAGCATTTACCTCAATTTTCCTCAAAGTCTATTAGTGTCAGGTCTCATCTAGGAGGAGGTAAAACAGGGAGCAGAGGACAGGGACACTGCCAGTGAACTGGGATGGAATGTGGAAGAAATGCCAGCATAGTGAGCAAAGAAAGCCAGGATGAATAGGTATCGGGGTAACAAGAATCACTAACAAACTGGAGATTGGGAAATGGTAGCAGTGTGAACTGGGAGATACATATAAAACAATCCAGTAAGACTGAAGGACAAGTAGTTTAGAAATAACATGAAACAATTTAACAGTTAGATCTAGCTCCCAATTTTACTGAAGAAAAATCTCTTGCACTTATTGACAAAGTCTTTCTCAGTTTTCACATATTCCTATATCTGCTAAATGGATCCCAGACATTGAACAGTCACTCCCTGGAAATACAAAACTGTGCCCTAATCTCACAGCTATGAGCATTTCTAACATTTTAGACGTGGATACATAGCGATGGTGTCAAGAAGTACCACAGGGTTGAGTTTAACTCAATCTGCCCAGTGGAAACCACAGTACCAGGTTGAGCATGTGAATCAATTGAATGACTTGTCTGTCAATGTTTGCCCTCAATTCTGCCATCTGCATTTTACATTGCTGTTCGAATCAGACAGCAAAGCAACCCACACAAAGTGAGTTGGGTCCTACATTAAATAATCAGATCAGGATATTGTGAGGTTATCACAGCCTAACTTAACTGAAACGTGCAATTTCCTGGTAAACACCAACTGGCAGTTAAAAACACCCCAACCCTGGTACCCAAGTTAACATTTACTTCCCTTCAGTGTACCAACAATCGTAGGGATTGCAAACAGGTATATACATTTTTTTTTGATAATAGTCCTTATCGTGTTTACCTGGATTCGGATAGATAGGAGTGCTCTCAAATAGCACAGTGGTGCCTCCATTGCAAAGTGGGCCATAGACCACATAACTGTGCCCCGTAATCCAGCCAATATCTGCCATACAGCCAAAAATATCACCTTTTTGATAATCAAAGACATACTGAAAGATAAAATTTGTATGTTAAATATTATGAATTAGTACCTGGAACAGAAAAAGCATTACACTACTTAAAGATTCACATTACAGGTAACAAATAAAACTAGCACTTGAAGACAGACCCTGCAATACCAATTTACAAGCAAGTAATTCAAGTAGTCAAATGAGTCAGCCCTATTAAAATAACTGAATAAGGAAGTTAAATGAATGAGGCCAAGTGTGTGGGTTTAGTTTGCAGATGGGGATGAAGTCCTGGAAAAATACAAGTGTATCAGGAATCCCGTTCCAACCCGCCAACTTCCACATTTAACTGCAGTATGTCACATGAGATCACGTCCCTCAGGAGAGGCGGGTTGTCAATTTTCTTATGTAAAAGATCAACTCCTGTGATAATAACACACAGGTTGAAGCAAAAGTTTGGCTCCACAGGTTTCCCATGCTTCCTAGAACTTGCAAGGTGAATGCAAGATAAGACAAAAGTGGCAACTAAAGGGGTGAAAGCCATGAGAAGGAAATCTGGTTGTAGAAAATGGTATATTCGCAGTACTTTTACTGAGATATTGCACAGGAGGTTATTTTACATGCAGTGAAGATGCCATCAACACAGAGCCTGATTTGCACTTTGGAGCTCTGAACTATCACATTTTCTGAGTGTTGTTTATACAGGGTTACTTTGAACTTCAGATGATATCCAAAATAAATCACCAGCAGCAGCAGATCCAAAAGCAGCAACAGGCAAAGCACTAGGTGGCAAAAGGACCTCCAATAGCAACAGCCCACTTCTTACAGACCTGCAGCTCATTACTATCACACTATCAGAGCATCAGTGTCTCAGGACGCTCAAGGTGTCACGTCAGGTTTTGGTAGACATTAAAAGCATTCTGGACCAGACCTGCAACAGGCTGAACCTGATGGGTGTACTGTGTCTATGCCTGTCAAAATGACCACTGTCCTCGACATCTATGCTTCTAAATCCTTCCAGGGGTCACCTGGAATTATTTGCAGGATCTCACATAATGCATAAGAGAGATTGCTGACTGTTTATTTGCCAAAAGTTTCAACTTCATCTGTAATGACACCAGTCCTAATGGGGAAGCATTCAGATTTGTGACTCTGACAGGTTTGCCATAGTGCAGTGCTGCCTATGTGTGAGAACGAAAGCAACTGCCCTTCACCTAGGAATGTGAGTAAAGGGCTTGCACTCCATCAATATTAAAGAGGTGGGCAACCAACCATCTTAATACCTGGATGCAGAGCTATTTAGAAGATCATCAATGATATCCCTCAAATTCCTGAGGAAAACGGCCTAGAAACAATACAATTAATGTCATATAACCATCGTGTGCCATTAAATAAATTGTTGGGAATACTGAGGGTGCAGTTCAAATGCCTTGATAGATCTGGAAGTGCCCTTTAGCCCACAGCAACCAGGGTATACTAAGCAATTTTGGTGTCTGCTCTCTATATAGCACTGCACTACAGCAAGGTCGGACCTGCAGGAGGAACAAAGGGAAGAACACCTATACAGATGATTCCAAGGAGGAGGAAGATAAGGCAGAAGGTGATGCTGGCAATGTACTACCTGCTGCCCAAGGTGCCCTTATAATTGAGTTTTACTTAGTTTCCACCAATCCACCTATCCAATAAGCAAATACAAAAGGTGTTGTTGCGATTGCTGCTTCACAGTGCTCTGCCACAACCCCACATCTTCCAAGAAACAACCCATAAAGCAATCCTTTAAACAATGAAGCCTCCCCTTCACAGCCCCCATTACTTTGTGTCAGTTACATGAGGTATGTGAAAAATGTGGGGTTGAGTTTTACACAAGAATGACACAAATACTTCCATTATCTTGACTAAAAATATTGTTTTTAAATGTTATGTCCATCCAAAGACAGTACTATATCTAATTAATTACAATGTTGGTCACACTGGCAAAACTAGTAATAGTGGAATATACAAGTCATAACTGAAAAATACTAATCAAAACAAGAAATTATTAATAATTGGAATATACAATAATAAATCATATTCATATAGTGACATTAATATAGGAGACTGTGTCAAGGCATTTATAGATACATTACCAAGCAAGATTCGACACTAAGCCAGATAAGGAGATATTAGGGAAGACAACTACCATTAACTCTATCTATACCTGTCATTATTTTATAAATTTTTATTGGGTTGCCTCGCAATCTCCTACACTCCAGTGAAAAAAGTCCCAGCCTATCCAGCCTTTAGAACTCAAACCTTTCATCCCAGCAACATCCTGGTAAATCTCTTCTGGACCCTGTCCAGCTTAATAATATCCTTCCTATAACTGGGCGACCAGAACCGGATACAGTATTCCAGAAGAGACCTCACCAATGTCCTGTACAATCTCAACATGACTTCCCAACTCCTATACTCAAAAGGACCGAGCAATGAAGGCAAGCGTGCCAAATGCCTTTTTAACTACCCTTGAGCTATCCAGCAACCAATCATATGGTCGTTGTCAGGCTGACAGGGTTTGGCATCCAAAGCTGGTCACAACTCCTCAAGCCAATCGGTAATCTATTGCCGACCCATCTACTAACAGCTTCCCCTACTTTCTCAATAAAGTTACAGTGTAAACATGACTCACACTTCGTTTCAGTAACTTGTTTTTTAAAAGTGCAGCAGTTCTTCCCATAATCATTGGTTTTAAAATGGTCCTTTTCCCAATGCAGTCCACAATGAAAAATACAGTAAAATAAAAAGATGCAGGCTTCATGATGCAAATGGGAGTCAGAGAGATTTACTGTAAGGAAACCCCTCCTCTTATTCATTCACAAGAAGTATACCAGCACCAAAGACAGTCAGGCACTTGTGCCCAGCCTCGGGTGATCCCACAAACTGCAGTGGGAGGCATGCAATTACTGGAAGCCAATAAAAGCAGTAATTCCCTTAACCACTGAGTCAGAAACCCAATGAATTTCAAGGACATTGTTTGCAACTTAGTCCAGGTGTTTTGTACTGATAATTTTACAGTCACAGGCTGTTTGTTCATAGATGCAATATAATCTGAACTGGTTTTATTGACATGAACTTTCACAGTAGTCAGCTCAATATTCTGGATAGATAATACTGCCAAGGTACAAGAAACTTTTTTTCATCAATTTGTGGATGATTCTACTAGAAAAGGAGCAAAACTAGACCTTCTTTTGGGCCATAAGGCAGAGCAGGTGACTGAAATAAAAGTGGGGGAACACTTTGGTCTAGCGATCAAAGTTCTATTTGTTTCAAAATGGTTATGGAAAAAAATTAGCCTTCCATAAAAGTTAAAAGGTTTTAATTGGAGTCAGGCAAATTTTAATGGTTTAAGATAAGAACTTTCAAAAGTCGATCGGAGTAGACTGTTCACAGGTAAAAGGACGCCTGACAAGTGAAGGCGTTGAAGAGTGTGATGACGAGAGTTCAGAGGCAATTTGTTCCTTTTACAATGACGGGTAAGGCTGGTAAGATTAAGCTACAGTAGATGAATAAAGATATTGAGGTTCTAGTCAAGAATAAAAGAAAATCTTATTTTAGATAACTTGGTTCAATTGAATCCCTTAATCAATATGAAGAGTGTAGGGGCATCCTTAAGAGAGAAGTCAGGAAGGCAAAGAGGGATATGAGGTAGCATTGGCAGATTAGGTTAAGGATAATCCAAAGAGACTCTACAAATACATTAAAAGCAAGAAGGTAACTACAGAGAGCGTAGGGCCTCTTAAAGATCAAGGAAGTTGTCTATGTGTTGAACACCAGGAAGTGGGAAAAATACTAAATGAATATTTCACATCAGTTTTTACTGTGGAGGAAGAAATAGAGTCTAGAGAATACAGAGGAATAAACTTTCATGTTTTAAGAACAGTTCACAATACAGAAGAGGAAGTTCAGAGATCTTAGAGAACATTAAGGTGGATAAATCTCCAGGACCTGATCTAATGTATCCCAGAACATTGTGGGAAGTAAGGGAGAAAATTACAAGACCCCTTGCAGAAATATTTGCATCATCTAAAACTACGGGTGAGGTACCTGACGACTGGACGGTGGCTAATATTGTACCTTTGTTTAAGAAAGGTTGCAAGGAGAAACCAGTGAACAACAGAACTATGAGCCTGACTTCAGTTGTGGGTAAATTTTTGGAGGTGATTATAAAAGATAGGATTTTTGGATATTTAGAGAGGCAAAAACTGATTTCAGCATGGTTTTGTGCGAGGAAAATCATATCTCACAAACTTGATTGAGTTTTTTGAAGAAGTTACCAAAAAGATTGATGATGGCAGAGCAGTAGACGTTTATTTGGATTTTAGTAAGGCCTTTGACAAGGTTCCGCATGGTAGTCTAATTAGTAAAGTTATGTCACAAGGGATTCAGGGTAAACTTGCCATTGGATACATAATTGGATTAACAACAGGAAACAGTCAGTAATGCTGAGGGTTGCTTTTCAGACCGGAGGCCTGTGACCAGTGGTGTCCCACAGGGACTTGGTTCTGGGTCCTCTTTTGTTTGCCATTTATATAAATGACTTAGATGAGAGTATACAAGGCATGGTTAGTAAGTTTGCGGATAACACCAAAATTGGTGGCTTAGTAGACAGTGAAGAAGGTTTTCTAAGATTATGAACGGATCTTGATCAAATGGGTTAATGGGCTGAAAAACGGCAGATGGCGTTCAATCTGGATAAATGCAAAGTATTGCATTTTAGTACAACAAACAAGTAGGGCTTATACAATTAATGGTAGGGCCTTGGGTAGTGTTGTAGAACAGAGGAACCGTGGGGTGCAGGTACATAATTCTTTAACATTTATGTCACATACAGACATTTTTTGATTAAAAAAGGTTTGGTGTGCTTGCCTTCATTGCTCAGTTCTTTGAGTATAGGAGTTGGGAAGTCTTGTTGAGGTTGTACAGGACATCGGTGAGGCCTCTTCTGGAATACTGTGTCCAGTTCTGGTCGCCCAGTTATAGGAAGGATATTATCAAGCTGGACAGGGTTCAGAAGAGATTTACCAGGATGTTGCTGGGTATGGAAGGTTTGAGTTATAAAGAAAGGCTGGGTAGGCTGGGACTTTTTTCACTGGAGCACAAGAGGTTGAGAGGCGACCTTATAGAAGTTTATAAAATAATGGGAGGTATAGATAGAGTTAATGTAGTTGTCTTTTCCCTAGGAAGTGGAATTTCAAGACAAGGGAGCACATTTTTAAGGTGAGAGGAGAGAGATTTAAAAAAGACATAAGAGGCAAAATTTTTACACAGAGGATGGTTCACATGTAGAATGAACTTCCTGAGGAAGTAGTGGACGTGGGTACAATTACAATGTTTAAAAGACATTTAGGTAAGTACATGAATAGGAAAGGTTTGGAGGGATATGGGCCAGGAGCAGGCAGGTGGGACTAGTTTAGTTTGGGATTATGTTCAGCATGAACTGGTTCGACCGAAGGGTCTGTTTCTGTGCCGTATGACTCTATGACTCTACATGTCTACATCATCTGCTTTTACAAATAGTAGGAAGTAAAATCACACAAAACATAACATCAAATTATCTGAAAAACACATATACGAGATACTCCTGCAATGTATCTTAACGTAACTCAGAGACTAGCATATATATGTAAAACTTGAATTGAGTTAAGTAATTTAAAATTAGGAACTTTACAGATAAATATTATCTGTGAGGTTGGCCTTTGTACATTAATGTTAACTTAAAGTAAAAGAAATTTCTGTAATCAGTATTAGATACTAGAAGGAAAACATTGAGGCTCACCATACTATTCTACTGATACCTTGTGGGTAATAGATGTATACAGCAGATAACCAGCTTGTGTATGGACCAGACCCTTGGGTTTTCCCGTGCTTCCAGAAGTATACAGCAAGAAGAGAATGTCCTCACTGTCCATGGACTCAGGTTCACATACTGGCTCTTCTTTCTCCATCTCCTGAAGGAGAAAAAAGGCAGATCCTCCCACTGAGCTGATGTTTTATTCCAGGAAAATATGTTTAATAACTGTTCTGTATAATTTAGACATGACAAATGTATGAAAGACACTCTAATGGTAGATTCCATCTACAAAAAACTCTTACTTTGTGTCTGCCCCTTTCTGCATTTTCACCAGAATGACAATGATTAGTGGGGAGGATGATTTAATTAATGTGTGTGTGTTACTGACCTTTCTTGGCAGTTGGATTTACCAGCCTCAGAAAGAGTGTAGACACAGCCATAGGGGTTGCTGAGTACAGAGACAACTTTCTAAAGGCTTTCCTTTGTCCTCTGTACATTGTCCCAGCTACAAAGAAACAAGTAAATGAAACACAGCCCTCAGCCTTCACCCACCAGACAGTCCTCACGCCCATCCATTCTACTCTATTTTCCCAACCAACTACACTCTGCCTCATGTCTTCCATGTCAATGAATATCCATCTACGCACCCCTCCTAGCCCTTCTCACATCCAGTGTGACAACCTATGCCCTTACACCTTCCATGCCAACTCACCCAGGATCCACCACGGGCAGACTTCAGGACCCATGCTGAGTTGAAATAAAATAAAGTTTTTTGTCGTTTGATTATGTCACTAATTAAGAAAAAGTGCTATAATTGATTTTAAAAACTCCCTCATTGCATTTAAGTTCCTTCAATATCTCATCTCTTATAAAAACAAAATTTGTATTCATAGCCTCACGCCAAAATCTTTGTAACTACACAGAGCTGTCAAATAAGTTGTGAATTGACAGGCATCTCACTGTGATAATTATAGTTGTAAAATGAGTCAACCAACACAAGCTGAATAATAATAGCCATCAGGCTTAGGTCAACAGACACTGAAATGGAAGTAGATTTAAATGCAGATTTTTTTTTTAATTTAAAAGTCAAGAGATTTAAATGCCATGACAGCTTGGCAGTTCCAAGGGGGTTTAAATAACTTGGCGGCTTTACAGTTTCAATGAATGTATCCACATTTTACATACATTCACATCTACGTTAAACAATCCTAAATGGCACATAACCCATCCTAACAGTATTCTTGGATCTATCCAAAAGGTTATTTTACCAAAAAGACACTTCAGTGAGTTTAGACCCTCCCTTGAAAAGTATAAAGTCTATAAGTCATGTTTTGGGTGTCTCATTAACGATAATTGGATCTGTTTGAAAGCAACTGCATTTTTACATTTGTAAACAAAAAGGGTATATTTTGGTTTATTTCTTATTTTGGGGTCATCCAGTAAATTTAGTTAAATCCTATGGGAATTGTAACACTTATTTAATCATACTTATAATGTTGGTCATGGAAATGATGGATAAGCATTAAGGAGTCAGGGCTGGAGTTATTCACTGCAGAAATCCTAGGCTTTAGCTGGTTCTTGGAGCCATAGTATTATGTATCTGGTTCAGTTGAGTTTCTAGTTAATGGTAAACTCCAGGATGCTGAAGATGGGGGTATTTAGCATTGGTAATGCCATTGAGGGTCAAGGGGAGATTCACTTGTTGGAGATGGTCAACGCCTAGCACTTGTATGGTGCACCTATTAATTGCCGCTTAGCACCTCAAGCCTGAATATTGTCCAGGTCTTGCTGCTTGCAGACACAGTTTACCTCTTTGCCTGAGAAGTTGTGAATGGAACTGAACATTGGGCAATCATCTGCAAACATCCCCACTCTGACTTTTATGATGGAGAACAGGTTGTGATGAAGCAGTTGAGGATGTCTGGGTCTGGGAGACACTTCCCTTAGGACTTCCTGGAGCTCAGTCCTACTGATGAGATGATGTGCCTCCAGCAACTACAACAGTTTTCGTTTGGGTTAGCTGTGGCTCCAGCCAGTGGAGAGTTTTCCCCTAGCTTCCATTTACTTTAGTTTTGATGTCAGCTTCAGTAAAATGCATATTAAGAGCAAAAACTTTCATCCTGCTTCTGGAATTCAGCTCCTTTGCCTAAGGCTCTTTTGCGGTCTGGAGCTAAATGCCTCCTCATGGAACTCAAATTAAATATAACTGAGCATGTTACTGTTGCTATCACTGTCAATAATGGCATCAATCAAATTGGGCTTTACTAACACTAATGCTTTACTAAGGGAGCACTGCACCCTCAAACGTGCCTTTTTATGGATTCGGTGTTAATCTGAGGTCACATCTACCCTCATGTGGATGTAAAATATGCACTCTGTGAAGATTAGGAACGTTCTTCCCAGAGTCCTGCTCAGTATTTATCATTGAAAGCACATCAATAAATCAGATCAGTTGGTCATTATCACATTGTGTTTGTGGCACTTTGCCATGAGCAGACTGGCTGCATGAGTTACCAGCAAAAATGACAACTTCTCACTTCGAAGTGCTTACTTCAAAAGTACTTGATTGTATATAAAGCACTTTTTGGGATGACCTGAGGTCATGAAAGGTGATGCACAAATGCAAGAATTTCTTTCTTTCTCGAAAGCCCTGTGACTTTCCTACTTTGATTATATCTAATTGTCAACATCTACGTGTTCCACTGTTAACAATGGATACTACACAATAACATTAAGTAACAAACTTTGCAAAGTTACAGCTTTTAATAATTTCAAATTTTAAAAATATAAAGCTACCAAGCACAAAAAAGCTTCTTTAAGTTCAGAGATATTACTTTAATGAAGACTTACTTCTTCGAGCGGTATGTCGATATTGCTCATAGGAACCTTGCTGTCTGTTCTCTGTGCCACAAAGATGCATTTTACTGTGGGACATGACTTTACAGCCTCATCCACCACCTTCTTTAGCTCAATAACACGACCACCACGTACTCCTTGATTGCAGGTGATAACAGCCTTGCATTGGGCTAGTTAGTCAAAGACAAACACTGTTATAATACACTGCGTTTTTAAAAGAATTGCAAAAGATTTGTAATTCTACAGCTAGGAAACTAGATCAAAATAAAAGAAAAGGTCACAGAGCTATGTGACATGTTTCAAGTCAGCTGTAAAAAGGCTGACATCCAGTGGTCTTGAATAACATTCAGTATCCAGGCAGCTGCCTGAACCAGGTGTTAGGCCCTGTGTGTATGTTAACACTCCTTCCAGACATTAAGCAAAACTCTGTGGAGTCAGTGCTTTCCTCGGGCTTTCTAGAGTTTGATATAGCCTCTAGCATATGCTGGCTCTGAACAGGCTGGCTATTCTACGTTCTAAATTAATTTTAATCCAAATATTGTCATCATAATGTGGTTCTTAAATTGTCCAGTAATCTGTGAGACTTCTTGTGACACTGTTGCATGATTTAGAATATAAATGTTTGTCAGTGGGTTCAGCAGTACCCTTGCTCATTGTGCTGTTAACCACATCCTGGTTACACAAATATACTGCCTGCCACTGTGAACCCAGTCTCACCATCCCCTCATAGCAGCAGCCCAGCCTGTGAAGTGGCAGGATGTGGAGGCTCCATTTAGAATACATATCTTGTTGCCTCAAACTCAAATGAGGCCAGGACATCCAAATCATGAAGATTTTTTTTTGCCATCTCAAACAGTCACTGATCAATATGTCTGTTAACTTGACCACATTGCATTTCAAAGAATAATCTGTCCAGTTACATTAGAACCTTGGCTCATTATTTTCTGAAAAGAGACTATTGCTTGAATAGTGAAAGCTAAGTGATCCATTGGAAACAGAAATGAATTTGAACAGTTTTGCGTATGATCTACTTCCCCAACACAAAAATAATCCAAAGCTGATATGTAATTCAAGATGACTATCTAATGTAATACAAGTAAAATTACAGAACTGTTCCTTACTTTTCCTGTGTAAACTCTATTTTCATCACACAAGTAACTGATGAATGGACTCTCTAACTTCAAATAATGTTGATCCTGTTAATGTTGATCTTGCTTCGTGCACCTCCTGTGCAGTATAACCTGTATGTCTCACACTGTCTAAGCACCCTAAGTTCTGTATGTCCTTGCTTGCTATGATCTGCCTGTGCTGTTTTGCAAACAAAGCTTTTCACTACACTTAGGTACATGTGACTATAATCAATCAAGTCAAATCAAATTAAAACAGCATATATATTTTCTTAAATATAAACAGAAAATGCTGGAAATTGTAATGATCGTGACCTGAAAGATTAACTCTGCTTCTCTCTCCCCAGATACTGTCAGACCTGCTGAGCATTTATGTTTTTATTTTAGATTTCCAGCAACTACAGTGCTTTGTTTTCAGATATATATTTCTTTAATGGGATTGCAGATTTTCTCCATTTCTTTGATTATCCATTAAACTGTAGACAGAATGGGACATTGCAGATTAATTAAAAGTCCTGAAGAAGGGTAATATCCGAAACTTTGACTGCTGCTTTCCTCCAGATTCTGCCTGGTCTGCTGTGTTCTTCCAGCCTCCTATTTGTCTACTTTGGATTCCAGCATCTGCAGGTTTTTTTTGTCTCCAATCAAAACTGTTGATTGGTAAAGTGATATCAGTTAAACAAATGCACCTTGCAGACCGATGAGTAGGGAATAAGCCAGATCAATATTCCCTCTAAGTATTTTTTGGGGTGCAGACTTCTGCAGCCACAACTTCCAAAACTGTAAGTCAATGCATCAGCAAACTGGCATACATGGGAACTTGTGTAGCTGTGTGACTGCACAACTTAGAGGGAACGTTGGTCCAGATACAAGATTTTTACATTCTTTCAAATGCAGCATTTGTTGCCTGTCCATAAATGTCCTTAACAACTCAGTGTTTGCTAATTTATTTTAGATGGCCATTGCTGTGGGTCTGGAGTCACATGTAGGCTAGGCCAGCAAATTTCCATCCTTAAAGTATGTTAGTTAATCATTGTTACAATCAATGATCGTTTCATGGTCACCATTATTAAAACAAGCTTTTAATACCAGGTAGTTATGAATTTCTTGAATTTAGATTTGAATCCATGCCTCCAGAGCAGTAGACCAGGCCTGTGGATTACGAGGTAGTGGCGTTACCTATGCCACCATCTGCCTGCTTCAATCGAAAATGGACGTTTATTTTAAAACAAATTAATCAGAAAAGAAAGTGAAAGATTTTCGTTGACCTACCATCAGAGATCCTTTCACTCAGCGCACGGCTGCTGAAACCTGCAAACACCACTGTGTGCACAGCACCAATCCTAGCACAAGCCAACATTGCAGCTATACCTATGGGAGATACTGGGAGATAGATAGCAACTCTGTCCCCTTTCTGCACCCCATGACGCTTCAAAGTGTTGGCCAGTCGACATGTGGTCTCCAAAAGTTCCCTGTAACACAAAACATCCAGTTACTAATCACTGGGGAGAGGGCGGGCACATGTAGTTGTGGGCAAATCCTCAGTGTCCATCAGGTACCAGGACAGCAGTTAAAAATGGAGCAGGTTAAAATTCGAAAATGGCTGATTTTACAGAGGAGTGAGGAGGCTGCCTGAATTGACAGGAGCCTCGTAAATGTATGCACAATGGGGGTCTTTTCTTTGTCGGCATCCTGTCACTAAGTCACGTGCACAGTACACAGACTTAACCAGCTAGCTCACAGCCAGTTTCTCGAATAAGAAGACTCTCTAATACTCCTGTTTCTTTTTATATTGCCCCACACTACCACTGCACTGAAAGGGGGCTAGCAGTAGTGCTTACATTTTCCACAAATCACCTGTGGCTGCAGTGTTTTCCACCAAGGAAGCACCCACGTGGCTAACAAAACATTTACAAGCAAAGCCTGATAAGGGCAATGCTTGCATGAAAAAAGTGTAGGGGGAGGGGGTAGGGAGAACACAATGGGGTTCTATTAAGTAATTGGCATTCAACCCCAATTTAACCCATCAGAAGTTGCTCTAACAGCTATATACAGGATTAGAGTTTGAAGAGGCTTTTCCAAATGATTTAAAACTTTGCTTTGTTTTACACTTCCCCAGCAGTAAGTATACTTCCAGACATCATAAGTGAATTGCAGCATGCCTCTGACCTGGAATTGAATTGAATTGAATCATTTATTGTCACGTGCATTCAATGTCAAAATATAGTGAAAAGCGTGTACCTTTGCCATACAGACATGGCACCATTCACATTAACATCTAGAATAAGGTAAGAAGTTTCTATCTTCCCTCCCATTGAGAGTAAGAAGCAATTATTTTTATTTCTTGTGACAATTCCATATTCATGTCAAAATATGAGGCTCACACTCTGAACCAGATAGTTATTATCAGTTCACATTTTATTTGTTTGTGGAATGTGGGAAACACTGGCAAGGTCATATTTATTATTCATCTGTCCTTGCCCTGAGAGTGTAAAGAGGAGTTTCAGATTGGAGTCATGTGTAGGCTGGATATGGTATTCCAAGGAAGGATACTAGCTTTAATCATGATAAACCAGTGGTCTTAGATTAATCAAATTAATTAATTTATTCAATTGCACATCTTTCACATATTTGATTGAATTTAAGGTTATTTACTAAACTGCTTTCAAGTCCCACCTGCTCCAGAGGTGTATAATTACATCTCTAAACAGGTTGATTAGAGAAAAATAGTTTAAAAGGCTAGTGTGTACTAAAGGTTGTACCTGTATGTAACCCTTATTTCGGTGCCTGGTTCATCCCTCTCCCAGATCAAAGCCACTCGGTCAGGATACTGGTTGACATGACGATCTAAGCAATTCACTGAGAAAAAAAGGTTATTACAAAAGGTTAAATAATAACTGTTAGAGGTGACAGTGGATGCAAAAAAATCTACAAACAGCTTGCATTTTTCGTGCATTTAACAACAACTGTCAACATCGTAAAATATCCCAAGATGCTTCACAAGATTGTTACCAAACAAAATGTGACAACTAGCCAGGTAGGGAGATAACAGGCCAGGTGGCAAAAAGCTTGGTAAAAGAAATAGGTTTTAAGGTGGGTCTTAAAAGAGGCAAGACAGGCAAAGGTGTTTAGGGTTATACTGCTGTGTGCTACATTATATATACTAACTGCATCTCCATGGAGGTTTGTAGGAACAATAAATATGTCATCATATAAAATAAACATAGAGAGGGGCTTACACAAATGGCATGAAAATTCTTTTCTAGAAATCCACTCCAGACAACGAACATGTTAATACATTTACTTCACGCAGATAATGCCTGTGCTTATCTTAGAATCTCACAATACAGAATTAGGCTATTTGACTCATCATTCACGTGTTGATTCTTTGAAGGAGGTATTCAGTTAGTTCTAGTGCTTCATTCTTTCTAATACTGCCGTGAAAATCTTTCCATTTCAGGTATATATCTGTCTCCCTTTTGAAATTTACTACTGCATCTAATTTCACCATCCTTTCAGGCACTTTAATCCAGATCACAATAAACAGCTCTGCCAAAGACATTCTCCTCACTTTTTCCCTGGTTCTTTTAGTCAATTACTTTAAATTGCTGTCCTCCAGTTAACAACCTATTTCTTTCTGTGCATTTAACAGAGTATATTGACCTAAATGTGCTTTATAGAAGTGTAATTGTACTAAAGTTGACAATATGCCAAAGACAGAGATATCAGAAGGGATGATAAAAAGCTCAAAAGTGGATTTTATGATGTGTCTTTAAAGAGAGGGAGGGAAGAAATAACAGGGTTTACATTCCCAATGAGGAATTTCAGGGCTTAGGGTCCAGATGACCAAAGGCAGATGACCAGCAATTTTGTGGTGAAGTAATTGGGAGATATGCAAGTAATCAGAATTGAAGACCACATCTTTCAGTGATTAAAGGGCTAGTCAAGGTTACACAGATATGGAGACGCAAGGCCATGGAGAGATTTAAATACAAGAATAAGAAGAGGTCCAGGCTCTGGGGGCTAATGTAAATCAGCATGCACAGTGGTAATGGGTGAAAAAAACTTAGCACAAATTATGAAATGGGCAGCAGAGCTTTGGATGAGTTGATGTGTAATGAAAAATGGGTCACTAGTTGGACAGCACTGGAATAGTCAAATGTATTGATAACCAAAGGAAAACCCTCCACAATTAAGTCGCAAGCAGCAAGGTCCCAAGTGGGAAACTGAGCCACTTGTGGCAGGATATCAATTAGGCGTATTGAGCAAATTGACATAAATTAACCTTCAGCCCACCAGAATTTAGGGATTGAGTTAAAGTTACATGGCTTACCCAAGGTTTCTGAAAAGCATCCAGCTAACTGTTCTGGGTTTCCAACAGTCTACAAGGGTGGTCTTTCATTGCCGTCACGCTGTGTCCAATTAACGAATGTGGCATGGGGAATGATGGCTGCCTCCGAAAGGCACCACAAGCCATTGCCTCTAGTCTCCTGCCCGCACTCTAGGGTCTCCTCCCTGTGATGACTAACATACATCCAACTCAACCAAGTCCAGGGATCTAATGGCAATCCCTGGTGAAGTTCCTGAAACAAAACTAACAGCATCCTCACTTGAGCTGACACTGGCAGCAATGCAGAGCTGCCATTCTTTCAAAAGGTGAAATTTCTGCCACTGGAGTCCTAAATCCTGGCGAAGGCTTGACACTGGCCAATTAAATGCCTGACGGGCAATTAGTTTGGCTAGGCCTTCCCCACAGAATCAACGTGCGTTACCCACTAGTTTTCCAAACTGTTGTGGGGGACCCATGTCAGGAACGTTAAATCCTGCTGAAAGTTAGAGTTGGGGAGGGGCTAGAAGTGATAGTCTTGGTGATGGAGAGGATATGGGCGATTTTCTGTCTTAGGTTGTATTTTCAGTATTTCGAAGTTTATTTCTTAGTTTTAACTGTAGGTGAAAAACTATCAATGGGAGAAAAGCTATGATGGATAAATTATAAATGCACTTTAAATTCAACAGAAATTAAATCTCTTTTGAATGTATAATTTATGCAGTCAGAAAACTTGTTAAGAATTAGTAGAGCTTTATATTACTCATTCGTGCCTACAACGACCTTCATAACCTATGATCTAATTACATTACTTTGACCTCCTCCCCACGTCCTGTTTCTGGTTGTTTAGTTGTGTACTAAACACGTGACCATAATCCAGAAGGAAAATATGCTTTATTTATCATGACAGACTTTGAACAAATGTCATTTGGCTATGATCCACAGAATACTTCAACATTCATCACTGGGAAGAAAAGGCAATAAAAGCTCACTTTCAGGAATGAGTTATATTCCAAATGGCATTGTTGCACTATGGTGACACTACAGTGTAAAGTAATCGGTAAACCTAAAATTGTCTCACACTCAAGTTACTGATTTCTTTTCCAAAGCAGTTCTTTCTTATAGTAGTCAGCTGCTGTAAAACTGGTTTTACCCTGTGGTCTGACTGTAACTGGATTAATCAGTATAATCTGACTGTTCAAAGCCATGGCCACACTCCATCAGGATTGCTACATTCAGATTTGGGTATGGCACCTTAGAAAGAATATATTAGCCATGGTTGAAGGACTATTTATTCACCAGAATGATACCAATTTTAAAGGATTGGTTTATGAGAGCAGGTTGCATAAACTTGGCTTGTATTCCCTTAACTTTAGCAAATTTTTAAAATGATCAGAGTTTAGCAGGATAGATATGGAGAAACTGTTTCCTTTACTAGAGGAATCGTGAACAATATCTTAACATTCAAGCAAGGTAATTTGGGAGTGAAATCAGGTACAGTTTTTCACACACAGTATAAAATGAAATTTTACATCTGGTTTGAAAGGGAGAAGAGTGGATCTAAGACTAGTTTTTTAAACTTAAATAAGGACAACTATGTGGGCATGAATGCTGACCTAGCTGAAGTGAACTGAATACAAGACTAGGGATAAATTCATAGAGAAGCTGTGGCAGACTTTTAAGGGGATATTTTAGAATACTTAGAATAAGTATGTTCCTACTAGCAAGAAAAATTCTAGGCGAGGATCCACATGTATGGTGAACTGAAGAAATTAAGGAAAGCATACAACTTAAAAAGCACGTAATTGCACAAAGAAGAGTGACAAATCAGATGACTGGACAGAATATAGAGATCAGCAGAAAATGACTAAAAGATTAATCAAGAAAAAGAAATTAGAGTATAAGAAGAAGCTAGCTCGAAATACAAAAATGGATTGCATGAGTTTCTATTGGTAATTTAAAAAATAGAGTGTAAGTAAAATGAGTGTTGGATCTCTAGTCAGTAGCAGTGTGGAGAAGTAGATAATAACGATATGGCAGATGAAACAAGCAAATATTTGCTTCAGACTTCATTCTAAAGGAGACAAAAATATTCAAGCAATAGCTATAAATCAGGAGGAGAGAGGGACTTAGTGAAATTACAATCGTTAGGGAAATGTTAATGAGCAAATTGAGGGAGCTGTGGGTTGTCAGTCTTTGGGTCCTGATGGACTTAATCCTCATGTTTTAAGAGAGGTAGCTAGTGAAGTAGTGGATGAGTTGGTCTTAATTTTCCAAAGTTTGCCTGACCCTGGAAAGGTTCCATCCGAATGGAAAGTAGCAAATATAACTGCTCAATTTAAGAAGGACAGAGGCAAAAGACAGGAAGCTATCAGCCAGTTAGTTTGTTGTGTGTCATGAGAAGGTGTTGGTATTAATCCTTTACGAATTTATACCTGGGACTCAGAAAACCAAAAGGTAATTAGGAAGGGTCAGCAAGGTTTGGTGAAAGAAAATCATGTTTACTGGAATTATTTGAAGGAATACTATGTGGAGGTCAAAGGAAAGCCTGCAGGTGATTTCACAAGGTGTCATGTTAGCAGTTATTGTGAAAACGAGGAACTCAAGTTGTTTGGGTGAAATAACTACACAGAGGCCAGTATCCCGTCACCAAGCCACACTTTATTTACTTGTGTACAGTACATTGGCTGTAGCCCAGCCGGCTCAAAGTCAGTCCCCTCTACTGAGGAGATTCTAATCTCCTGGTGATATTGGTCAGCCAGGGCTTTCCTGACTGGCCCAGGTTAACAACACTAATCAAGGATCTTGTAGTCAACAAGATCTAGCTGGTTCCAATCACTATCGTGCGTAATACTTTAGCATGGATACAAGATTTGCTGGCTGGCAGAAAACAATAAGTATGCATAAGTGGGTATTTTCTGATTGGCAATATGTGATGAGTGGTTCCCATTGGGGTCTGTGCTGGGGCCTCATCTTTCACAATTTAAGTTAATGACATAGATGTGGGGAGTGTAGACATCATAGCTAAATTTCCAGAGAACACAGAAATAGGTAGAAAAGAAAATATGTTGTAAAGAAGACATAAGAGAGTTGCAAACGGATATAAATGTATTGAGTGGGGGGAAAAAAAGTCTGGCATATGAAATAGTCTAAGAGAAAATGTGAATTTGTTCACCATGGCAGGAGAAATAAAGATGCAGAGCATTATTGAAATGGAGAACAACTGCAGAATTCCAAGTTGCATTATAGTGTACAAAGCACAAAAAAAAATGGAGGTACAGCAATAATTATGAAGGCTAATGGAATTACTATCCTTTACTACAAGAGGAAGTGAACATAAATAAAGATGTTATGCTTCAATTATACAGAGCATTAGGGAGACCACATTTTGATGTCTGTATGCATGGCTCAGTCTTCTAATTTGAGGAAGGATGTAAATGCATTGCAGGCAGGTCAGAGAACATTTTCTTGATTGTCAGTTGTAATGAGAAAGTTGTCTTATGAGAAGAATTTGGCTGGGTTTGTTTCCATTGGAGTTTCAGGAGTGAGGAATGTCTTGACAGAAGAATAAAAGATGGTCTTGCGAAGGTGGACATGGAAAGGTGTTTCCTCTCATGAGTGTATCCAAAACTAGGAGTTACAGCTTAAAAATTAGGGAATTCCCTTTTAGGACAAAGATTTTTCTCTCTCTCAGAGGGTTGTGCAGCTTTGAAATTCTCTGCCTCAGAAGATGGAGAAGGCGGAGTCTTGAATAGTTTTAAGGTAGAGATAGATAGTTGTGAGGGAAGAGATTGGGAGATTATCAGAGGTAAAGGCAAATATGGAATTCAAAACACGAAGAGATCAGCAGTGATCTTGTGAATAATGGTGCAGACTCGAAGGGATGAGTTGCCTACTTATTCTCCTAAATCATATGTCCATGTAATGGAAATTTTAAACATTCTCCTGGAAAGGTTGTGTGGGCATTAGCACAATTTAAATTTTCAAGATTGAGATTAATAGATTGTTTTAGTTAAGACATCACTAATCACAAAGGAATCTTTCACAATGTTAGGATATCCCAAAGCAAATTACAGTCAATTAAGTAATTTAGAAGTGTAGTCATTGTTTTAGGCAGGAGATTCATCAGGCAATTTTGCACCACAGGATTTCCACAAACAGCCGTTTAAGTGCCTAATTTGGATCAATCTGTTTTCTAGTGCTGACTGAGCAATAAAGGTTGGTCTTTTAACACAATGGCGTCTTTTTTACTGTGTTACTATACACACCCAGGCCAGCTGATTTGGTTAAAATATAAGCACTATTGCTGGGCCTCCTTTGGGTGCAGAGGTAGTATTGGGGAATTATATATAAAAAAAAGAAAAACAGGGAAAATTCAGAGAGTCTCCTCACAATAAGAAAAAGTAAAGGTTTGTCCAGAGAGCAAAAATAAGGATAAAAGAACAAAGGTTGGTCTTCCCCCCTCAGTTTTGAGGTTTGCAATGCCCATAATAGGTTTTGTTTGTAAATATTTAATTGGTTCCACAGGGGGATTAATGATGGTGGTTAAAAAAAACAAAAAAAATGACATGTCAAAAGCTGATCACAATTCAAATGGACACATAGTTTCACAGGTGCTTGAGCAGAAAATGCCCAGAATTATAATATTTAAGTTATTTTTCTCTGGGGACTTGAGAACATGCACAATGGTAGCACTCCTCAGGGCTCACACATACAATATGGGCTGCTGCTACCCTGGGCACTACCTTCTACTCAATGATCACCACCATTCCCCGCCTTGGACCTGTGACTTACCCACTATCCACCACTGCATTGACTGACATTTGTTGAAGGGACCTTTCAAGTTCCTTGAAAGTGGCATTGCATGTAGACAGCGTCGTGAAGAGGGGTTTGGCATGCTTGCCTTCATTGGTCAGAGCATTGAGTATAGAAGTTGGGACATCATGTTGTGGCTCTACAAGACATTGGTGTTACCACTTTTAGAATATCCTGGTCATCCTGCTGTAGGAAGGATGTTGTTAAACTGGAAAGAGTGCAGAAAAAATTCACAAGGATGTTGCTGGGACTAGAGCTTTTGAGTTATAAGGAAAGGCTGGATAGGTTAGGACTTTTTTCCCTGGAGTGCCTAAGGCTGAGGGGTGATCTTGTAGAGGTTTATAAAATCACAAGGGGCATAGATAAGGTGAATAGCCAAGGTCTTTTTCCAAGGGTAGGGCAGTCCAAAACTAGAGGGAATAGTTTTAAGATGAGAGGGGAAAGATTTGAAAGGGACCTGAGGGGTAAATTTTCACTGAGAGGGTAGTGCATGTATGGAATAAGCTGTCGGAGGAAGTGGGAGACCTGGGGACAATTACAGCATTTAAAAGACATTTGGACAGATACACAAATACGAACGGTTTTGAGGAATATGGGCTAAAGGCAGGCAAATAGCACTAGTTCATTTTGGGATATCTGGTTGGCATGGAAGAGAAGGAGCCAAGGGACTGTTTCCGTGCTGTATGACTCTATGACTCTATTGATGCAAGCTTGTGGCACAGAAATGAAGCCTAGCCTGTGAAACAGAACAGGCCTCGCGAAAAGGACATCCCTTATCTGTTAGTATTGAATGCAATTGAATGCTGGCTTGTGTTTGCAGCACACTTTTTTGTCATAGGTCATGACAAATTGATACAATGTTAAAGGAAAAAGCATATAAATTCTGGGCTTTCACAATAGATGCACCGGCGTGACTTAAACCCCAAAGTGTCATGACAGGAGAAGGGGTTGTTAAAAATTTTAAAAATACGAAAATTAAAGCCCACCTACTCAAGAGTACCATTTCCATTTTTCAGGGAAGCTGCTGGAGAAAGTGATGCAAGTCCAGTCATTTAAATGTGCCTCAAATTTAAGTAAAGTTTTATTGTTAATATCCAGGGCTCCAGAAGCCCAGCAGCTGCAGAAAGGTGAGAAGGATTGGATTCATTAGATAAGTGTCTTTACAGTCTTGCTTGTAGGGAGGGGGAGAAAAATGTGCTATCCCCAGCTCTCAAGCATACTTACAATAGTTCCCTTATGCTAACAATCCACCTGCAATGTCCTCTCCAGCATGTTCCCTCCGCCCCCCTCCGCGCCACAACAATCTCATCATGACCCACCCACTCACTCCCAGAACGACATGACCTGTATTTGTCAACAAACATTTTTCCGGAAGAAAGCAGCTAAAAACATCCAACATCTGGAAATCAACAGTGTTCCAATATTTCCTCCACTTTCTTTACAATTGATGCTTTTCGTTTGTTGTTTAATATTTGTTTGTCTCATTTGCATTCAGTCAGTTTTGCGTTTTAAATTGGGCATTAACTCAGGGTTTTATAATGGAAAAGATAAATGCTCTGCAATATTCATTGGAACCAGTTATTTTGAAACTGTATGTGGTACAGTTGCCAATCAATTTTGTTGAAAGCTGCACTGCTCTGGAGTCTCAGTTTAGATTTCACTGTACCTAATTTGCCTGCCACGTTTCCAATATTACAACAATGACTGTTTTTCAATTATGCTTTCAGTGTAAAACATTTCAGAGTCCTGATATCGTGGAAGGTGCTAACTGCAGGTCCTTCTTACCGTTCATAATTTTAACTGTATGGCAGACTGAACCTGAAGTTCTGTACGTAAAAAGTTGACAGTTTCAACGTTGTAAACTAAACAGTGGTAACAACAGGTTTGTTTTAAAAATATAACGAATCATCTCGACATCTCTTAGCAAACAGAGAAGTGTTAAAATTCACCTTCATTTTCATTGTCATGATTCCCTAATCTGCAAAATATTTCCACTTTCTGCATCAAAAGGGATTTGTTTTTCTTTATCTTAGACACAACATTCATAGATCAGTATTTCATCATTGCGATCGCCATTTTTGGCGGAATATTTCGTAAAAAAAGTATATTAACGACTCTAAGAAATGCAATCATTTTTATAAGCCAACGTTTATTTGGGATGGAGACTATCGGTCTGGGATGTTTTTGCCCACTATTTTTCAGGTGTTTATCAGAAAATGAAATGTTCAGAAAGTACAGACCACAATTTAAAAAGATATGGGTGGTTGTTTTGTTTTTGTACCTGACACGTTGAGTTGTCCTCCCCGGAACCAGGCGATGGAGCCTTTGCTGAAGTCACAATCGTGAACCCGCTGAAAGAGCCGGTTCCACAAGAGTCTCTTCTTGGCCAGGGTCCCCCAGAAAGTTTCGGGATCTTTAATGGCGAAGTCCAACAGATCGGCGTAAGATTTTACCCCAGAGAAGGAGCTGGATTCTGGCAGGAATGAGCTGATGTTAGGGGCTGGAGAAGTCGCGTGAAACGTTCGGATCTTGTTCGGGTCCAAGCCCTGGGCACAACCCCTCGCCCTGACTGCAGTCCTCTTGTTGACACATGCAGAGGGTAGTGGGCAGCGTCGGAAGGGAATCCGTAGCAGGCGGCTGCCCCCCACGATCGCTGCCATGACCCAGACTCTGTCACGAGAGTTTGCCGAAACACTGTCTTGTTGGGAGGGAGCAATGTGCAAGTCAGCGCTGGGCGGAGATTCCTGGGGAAGATTCCTTGTAAAGTGAAGCTGCCTTCCACGCAGATTGGGTCAGAGTCCTGCCCAAAAGAGGAAGCTGTGCAACATGAAGAAGGTTGAGCTGAAAGAGGCCCTCTGGAGGTAAGGATCGCGAGGGATCTGCAAGACATACTGCAGAAAGAAGAATGGTGTGAGGGGAGCTGAAATGCATGGATTATCGACACGCCTGAAGTCACAAGAGCAAGTTGACATCACAAAGCAACTTTGTTTCGGGGGAGGAGATGGCCCAAAGCTATTATCGCTAGATTATCAATCCACAGACCCAGGGAATGTTCTGGGGACCATGAAACCAGTGTCGACTGTTGGGAAAACCCATGTGGTTTCACCAATGTTCTTCCAGGAAGGAAATCTGCAATTCTCACCCACAGCAACGTGGTTGACTCTCAACTGCCCTCTGAAATGGCCTAGCAAGCCACTCAGTTGTAAGTTCTCCACAAAGAAATGAAACTAGACAGACCACCTGGCATCAACCTAGACCTGGGAAACGACAAGAGCATAAATAGCCCTGTTGACCCTGCAACTTCCTCCTTACTAACATTCGAGGTAGTGTCAGTTAGCTCAGTTGGCTGGTTTGTGATGTAGATTGATGCCAACAGCATGGGTTAAATTCCTGCACCGGTTGACATCACCGTGAAGGATTCTACTTCTCAATCTCTCCTCTCTCCTGAGGCAATGGTGACCCTCAGGTTAAACCACCACCAGTCATTTCTCTCGAATGGGAAAGCAGCTGTATATCTGGTAGGGCTATGGTGATTTGATCATTACGTTTTTACTATCATCTAGGGGCTAGTGCCAAAATTGGGAGAGCTGTCTCACACACTTGGTGAAGCAACACCCTGACATAGTCATATTCATAGAATTATATCTTACAGACAATGTCTCAGACACCGCCATCACCATGCTTAGATATGTACTGGTCCCACCGGCAGGACAGGCTCAGCAGAGATGGTGGCACAGTTGTTTACAGTCAGGAGGGAGTTGGCTTGGGATTCCACAACATTGACTGTGGACAATGAAGTCTCGTGGCATCAGATCAAGCATGGGAAAGGAAACCTTCTATTGATTACCAAGTTCCGACTTCCCTCACTACCCTGCCTGACACAGATATAGGATAGTATCGGTAAGAGTGATCATCATGCAGTCCTCTTGAGTCCTCCTGTGTTTACATTGAGAATACTCTTCATTGTGTTCTGTGGTGCTATCCATGCTCAATTGGATAGATCTAGTAACTCAGGGTTGGACATCTATGAGGCACTGTGGCCAATCAACAGCAGAATCATACTCCAACACAATCTGTAACCTCACAGCCTGGCATATCCCAAAATCTACCATTAGCATCAAACTAGGGCATCACCCCTGATTCAATAAAAAGTGCAGGAGGGCATGCCAGGAGCAGCACCAAGCATGCCTGAAAATGAACCAAACAGGATTACTTGCATGCCAAACAGCATAAGCAGCAAGTGATAGACAGAGCTAAGTGATCCCATAATCAACAGTTCAGACCCAAACTCTGCAATCCTGCCACATCTTGTCTTGAATTGTAATGAACAATTAAACAACTCACTGGAGGAGGAAACTCCACAAATATCCCTATCTTCTATGATGGAAGAACTTAGCACATCAATATAAAGCCAAGGCTGAAATATTTGCTACAATCTTCTGCCAGAAGTGCCAAGTGGGTGATCAGTCTTGGCCTCCTCTGGTTGTCCCCAGCATCACAGATGCCAATTTTCAGCCAATTCAATTCACTCCATGTGAGATCAAGCAACAACAGTTGGAAGCACTGGCTACTGCAAAGACTATAGGCCCTGACAATATTCCAGCAATAGTACTGAAGACTTGTGCTCCAGAACTTGTCACCCTAGCCAAGTTGTTCCAGTGCGGCTACAACACTGGCATCTACCCAACAATGTGGAAAATTGCCCAGTTATGCCCTGTACATAAAAAGCAGGACAAAACCAATCCAGCCAATTTATTGTCCCATCAGTCTACGCTCAATACTGGTAAAATGCTATCAAGTAGAACATGCTCAGCAATAACCTGCTGATTGATGTCCAGTTTGAATTCTGCCAGGGCCACTCAGCTCCTGACCTCATTAGGGTATTGATTTAAACATGGAGAAAAGAGCTGAATTCCAAAGGTGAGGTGAGAGTGATAGCACTTGACATCAACGTCATATTTGACTGAGTGTGGCATCGAGGAGCCCTACCAAAACTGGAGTCAGTGGAAATCAGGAAAATTCCTTGCTAATTGGAGTCATACCTGACACATAGGAAGATGAATTTGGTGATTGGAGGTCAGTCATCTCAGCTCCTGGTTTCTGCAGGAGTTCTTCAGGGTAGTGTCCTAGGCCCAACCATCTTCAACTTCTTGAACAATGACCTTGCTTTCATCAAAAGGTCAGAAGTGGGCATGTTTGTGAATGATTGCACAATGTGCAGCACTATTCATGACTCCTCAGATACTGATGCAGTTCATATCTAAATGCACAAGACCTGGACAATATTCAGGCTTGGACTGAAAAGTGGCAAGTAAAGTTTACACCACACAAATGCCAAGCAATGACCAATAAGAGACAAATCTGCCTACTGCCCCTTGACATTCAAGGCACTATTACATCCTGGGGGTTACCATTGACCAGAAACTCAACTGGATTTGTTATATAAATACAGTGTGGAAGAATTGTGCATTTGTTTATATCAAGCATTGTAACTCATTTATAATGGAACAAACTTGCAAAAAAATGCTGTGAAAGCTGAAGCTTATTTAAAACAGACACAGTGAATCAGGTGTGATAATGTGGACTATTGATCAGCTGAATTTGTGATTGTATGTAAATATCATAGGGTTGATTGGATGACGTAAAGCTATTGCTTAGGTCAATGTTCTTAAAAGCAAGAGATAAGTCTCCTTCTCAGGAACACAATCAAGTCCTAATAAAGTAATTGATAAAACCAAGGTAGAAAACATATCACATTTGTAATATTTGCCAGTGGTCAAACTGATATTTCATGCACACTAGTTAGTGTCAAAGTTTGAATGTACAGCATCTTTGTATGGACAAAATATATATATTTTTAAATTCCTCACAGCAGGGAAGAGGTCATCTGTTCAATGGTTAGAAGTTGTGTCAGGGCAGGCTGATCTCCAGACAAGTCCACTTGAACAGACAAGTCCAGGTAAACAGGTTCACTTGTGATTACAAGTAATGTATGGATAGGATTTTTGCAGTTTTGCTGTAGTCTCCTTTGCTTGAACGTCGGGTATATTTTGGGTATATTTTGTTGTTAGAGCTGTCTTAGGTTATTAATATCCAGGGTAAATCCAAAGCACAAGAAAGGTGGGAATAAAAGCATACACTATTTACATTCTCACTGTCCACACAGATACCCTGAAACTGTCCATATTCTTACTGTCCACACTGACACCCCAGAAACCGTACCCATTCTCACTGTCCACACTGATACCCTGAAACTGTACACATTCTCACTGTACACACTGACACCCCAGAAACTGTACCCATTCTCACTGTCCACACAGA